CTTTATTGCCACAAAATGAGCAACACCCAAAACTCAGGTCCAACTGAATATTTGACCAAACAAAACTATGGAGGTGTTTCCTATGAGCACTGGTTACTGTTTGGAAGTGTTCTGCAGAATTTCATCCCAGGAGCACGCTCATTTAATTAACAAAAAGAGCTGAAACCTTTTAAACAAAAAGATTTACAAAACATGAGATGTGTAATAATCTTCCCCAAGAAAAAGGGATGATTTAACATAAGATTTAAATAAAATTAAATCATAATTTCCTCCAATGTCAACAGGATCTTCCAAAGAGGAAAACCTTTGAAATCGTGAGGAAATTTGTCAGGATTTCACACAGATAAATTAAAACCGAATTGAAGGAGGGAGAAAAAAAGCCTTTTATACAGTATTTGATGGGTCAAATATAGTCAATTATAATCAAGCAATACTGGTTGCACTCCAACAGGCTGGTGACCAGGGTGAGGAACTCACCACAGACACCTGAGAGTCCTGCACTGGAACCATCAGGAGAAATCCTTACCTTTCTCTAAGAGCTGGAAAAGCGTGGACGGGCGGAATCCTGTGGGAACTGCTCCTATGGTGGTCAGTACCTCCACTGTGTCATGCTATTAAAGCCAAAATTCTATCAGTACTCCTGCTATTTAACAGCTCATTTAGAACTCTATTTAAACCAGAGATCTGGTGCATCAGCCACCTCATCTGAAGCATTTCTGTGGCATTTCTTGCTACCAACCCCTCCCAACCCCCAGAACAGAGATGCTAATTAAAACCAACAGTCTGTAACATGAGACACCGTGTCTGGTAAAAGGACAAAGCTTGTCTGCAAACTAATTAACATTATGGCAGGTGAGAGGTGTAAGAGGGGCACCCACCTCTGTGATGGCTTGTACAGCACTCCAGTGAGAGTCTGTCCTGGAAGAAAAACAGTGGGTTTTTAGAATATAGCCTTGTGTGGACCAAAATTCAAACACTAAATATGGGTCTGTTTTCAAAGAGCAGCAGCTTTGTAACCATAACTAACATCTCAGAACTCCCCAACAAACCCACTCAAGAAGAAAAAAACACGTGGCTCCTGTACTGAAAAGAACCAAAGACCCCTGTGAGGTAAGAAATGTACTGCCAGGTTTAAGGGGGAGGAAGAATAATTTACACCTGTTTGCTTTCACATCACTCCTTTTACCTTCTTTTAATTTCAGTCCCATCTGCTGTTTCATCCACCACTTCTATGTGTTCCTCCCTCTCCTCCTGCCTTTCTTCCTCTTTCTTAGGAACCTGCAATTCAGATTCAAAATGGCAAAGGGCTTGATTTCTTCCCACTTCTGTCCTTAAAAATGCCCTCTCCAACCACAGCCCACGTTAATAGTTTAGAAGAGGAGAATTTCTGTCTGTGAAGCATCACTGTAGCTGCAGAAAAATGTCCAACATTTACATGGACTCACATTGCAGATAAATCATTAAAAAGCCCAAATTAATGCACAGCAGCTTGCAGTCATCAGAGCTGACCTTTAGTGACAAAGATGATGACTTCTATATTCAAGAAACTTCTCGGCCACGTCTTCACAAGGCACAAAAATGCTGCTATTGATGGATATGTCCATCCCCGTGGATAAAAACACGGCGTTATTTCCCAAAAACTGGTATTACTTCTAAATAACTGGCATTATTTCCAAATAACACACTCCTGCACCTCCCCACACGAGCACTGTGACTGATTTTATGCAGCTGTATGGTCATTAAAAGCCCAGAGGTGAGACAGGACAGAGGTTGTAGCACACCAACCGCAAGGTAGGTCCTGGGAACGAGGCCTCTCTCCCCCTTGGAATTTTCAGCCACCCACCAGCCATCCACCTTCTTGTCGTGGATAAGCAGGATTTCACCTTTCTGTGGCATTGGAAGGAGAGACAAAGACAAAAGTATTAAACCCAAATATTTAAATTAAACCCCCACAAACTCTTGATTTTTCCTACAACAGGGATCCCAGAGGCTGCCACGACAGAGGGTGGCAAAAGGGACACTGGACTCCAAGAAAACACCATTTCCCCCCAAATCCCACAAGGAACTGGCTGAATCCCAAAAGCATAGGCTTTAGTTATAGCTATTGCTTAATACAGACTGATCTGCAGCACAAGCCCTTTACAGAGAGTATTTACCTCAAATGTGAGATCCCCTTCCTGCTGTGCATCAAAGTTCCCAACAGCAACACATTCTTTAACGTTTGGATCATCCAACAACTTCTCCTCATCTTCTTCTTTTTCTTCTTCACTGTCTTCCTCCTCACTGCTTTCTTCATCTCCACTCTCCTCCTCTTCTTCATTTCCATCTTCTCCATGAGGACCTTTCTGATATTTCTCATCCCTACCCAAAACAAATCAGGCTTTTTTTATTCTCATTTTCACTGAACTTTTTGAAAGTACTGTCAGACACAGCATTTTAAGTCCTGCCCACAAGGAACTCCAAAATCCCAGTGGTGCTTCTTCCCTCCCTGTCCTCCAAACATTATCCAACGCGCTCAGAAAATCCCAGTGAGCCAGAAATCACTGATCTTGCGAGCACTTCTTTTTTTTGTCCTTCTATTTTTCAGATAATAAAAGGGATGAACTAACAGTTTTTCAGGGTGCTTTCCAACCATTCTATAAAAACACAGGTTGTGTGTTTGAGCTACTCACACTGTGTAACACTTGGTCATGTTATCCCGATCCAAGGCAAGGAGTAGTTTCTGCAGCTGCTGGGAGAGTTTTAGCAACAGTTTTTCCTCTTCTTCCTTCCTCTGGCTGTAATTCCCCACCGGTGCAGGCTCATCAGCCTGACAAAGAACACAACAAATTGCCCAAAGAATCAAAGTTCCCCTACAAGTTTAGTTTTCCAGACATGCCTTACAAGCTTTCCCCTCCCTGGGCTGCTCTCACTCCCTCTTCAGTGACATTTTCCTTGTGCTTCCACTCTGCCAAGGTGAAATTCCATGTTAAATTTCAAATTGCATTCTCTGCTGCCAAAGAATGCATTGGGCTGATAAATATTTTATGTGCAGAACTTGGACACAACAAAGCATTAAAGTGAGTTTTTAAATAACATAAATTGATAGATAAATTGGAGAGAAGCCAACCAGGGACTGTACACTGCTCTTGCCCTGAGGCATCTCAAATGAAAGGTTGGTGGTCTTTAAATGCTTTCTTTGGTGAATTTTGGAGAAAAGCACAAACAAATTCATGTCCACACTCACTTTTTTCAAAGCATGGAGAGCACTTGTATTCTCCTCCACCAGTTTCTTCAGCTGGATACATCTGCATTGAAAGCAAGACAGACAGATGATATTTTCTTAAAATTCAGCCCCAAACTGTCCCTGCTGTCTGAAAAGTGCTGTGTGTCCAGGCAGCTTGAGAATTCCAAGCCCAAACAGCAGCTTGGCTGATTCTTCCCTGCGATGTGCAACCTCCCAGTGGCATTTGGCAGAATCCCAACGTAGCTGGGGTTGGAAGGGACCTCTGGAGATCATCCAGTGCCAAGGTAGGGTCACCTGGAGCAGGTGGCACCATGTCCAGGGAGGTTTGGAATGTCTCCAGAGAGGAGACTCCCTGGGCAGCTCTACCAGCACTCTGATCCCTCCATGGAAAGAAGTCGTTCCTCACGTTGAGGTGGAATTTGTGGTTTAGTTTATGGCCATTGCTCCTGTCCTGTCTCTGGGCACCACTGAACAGAGTCTGGCCCCATCCTCTGACACCCCTTGGAGATATTTGTATGGATTTATGAGATCCTCTCTCGGCCTTCTCTTCTCCAGATTCTCCTCAGCCCCGGAGGGCTGGGCAGCAGCCAGCCTGGAAGGAAGGAGCAGGGAGACATCTGGACAACCGGGACAAGAAAGGAAAGGCGGAGGGGGAACTCCCTGCTCCTTCTGATGCAGAGTGATGTGGACGGAGCGATCTGCAGGGGCTATCGCTCTTCCCACACACAGAGCAGAGCCGGGCGACTCCTGGAAGAGGGTAAGACAGGGAGAGAACGAGGGCCGGGGTTCGGGATGGGGTTCGGGACCCCCCTCACCTCTGCCGGAGGGCCTCCCGCTGCCCGGGGGTGGCGGCCGCGCTCTCCGCCCGCAGCGCATCCACCTGGAACAGGGACGGGGGCAAACAGGGGCGGTCAGGAGCCGGGTCGGGCCGTGTCCCCCCGGTGTAGCCCCGGCCCGGCCCAGTACCTGCTCCCGCAGCTCCCGGCTCCGGCGCTGCACCCGCTGGAGCGGCCCCCGCGCCCGCCGCTCCGACATCGTCACCGGGCAACGGGGAGCGGGCGGCGCCGCACGATGACGGACCGGGGCGGGGCCGGCCGGGCGCACCCGGGCCCGGGGCTCTGCGGTGCCGGGATTCTCCCCATCGCGGGGCTCAGCCGCTTCAGGCATTCACCCCACCGCGGGGCTCAGCCGCTTCAGGCATTCACCCGGTCCCGGCGCTCCGTACCGCACCCCCAGCCCTGGCACCGCGGGAGCTCCCCAAGCTCCAAAACCACCTCCGGACCGAAGAGCCCCGGGAGCTACGAATTTGTTTGGCTACAAGTTATTTGGCGTTTTGTGATCGTAATTGCGGGATCGTTAAGGTTGGGAGAGAGAGCTCTGAGACCGTCAAGGCCAGCCCTCAAGGGGCGCTTTTTCCCCACGCCAGCACTTTTAGAACTTCATTAATACAGTTGAAAACCAGCGGCCTGCAACGTGCAGTGAATCCCCTGGCGCCTCCCAGACTCAAACAGATACTCTCCTGGAACTCCTTAACGATGGGAAGGGAAAGAAAGAACGTGCTATAGCCTTCTCCACAATTCCTTATCCAAAGTGCCGGGACGAATTCCGCCTCCAAAGCCAACATCCTACATTTAATTTGCTGGTTCACCCTGGCAATGGTATTTCACCACCTAATTGTCCCCACGCACTTCCATAATGAGGGTTGTTACAAGTGCCCATAAGGCACGTTTTCACATTCATTTCAGAAATAAACACATCCAGGAACACCCCGTCATGATTTTGGCTACTTTATTGTGTCAGCAGTGCTTTTTGGCAAGGGCACAGCAGCAGGCTTAGAGCTGGACAAGTGCAGACTACCTTTAGAATAAAGGAAACACAGAACCACACAATCGTTTAGGTCGGAAAAGACCTCCAGGATCATCAAGTCCAACCTGTGCCCGATCCCCACCTTGTCACCCAGCCCGAAGCACTGAGTGCCACATCCAGTCGTTCCTTGGACACCTCCAGGGATGGGGACTCCACCACCTCCCTGGGCAATCCATTCCAGGTTTGGAATCATTGCTGCTGTATCCTCAGTATTTTGTTAGGTCTGTCCGACACAGTTTGGGATCGTGCCTTTCTGAAGGATGGAAGGGAAACCCTGGTATTCCATGGGTGCTGTCGCTCTCCAGCAGCCCTGCTATTCCATGGATGCTGTCGCTCTCCAGCAGCCCTGCTATTCCATGGATGCTGTCCTTTTTCAGCAGTCCTGCTATTCCATGGATGCTGTCCTTTCACAGCCCTGCTGTTCCACGGATCCTGCCCTTTTCCAGCAGCCCTGCAGTTCCACGTGTGTTATCCTTCCCCACACCGTTTCCACCACCCTTCTCCAGGCGGCCGCCGGCGGGGACCCCGGGGCGCCGCTGCCGGGTCCGGGGGGGATCCCGGCTCCCGTTCCCGGCTCTCAGGCCGCGTCCAGCTTTTCCTGGGCAGCGGCGAGGCGGCGCTGGAGGTAGCGCTGCCTCCAGCGGAGGAAGCGGCGGTGGAGCCGTCCCGCCTGCCAGCCCACGGCCACGCCGGCCGCGAAGGCGGCGAGCAGCGCCCAGCGCACGGCCCGCGGCCGCAGCGCCTCCAGCACCATCCCGGCCCCGCTCCCGGCCCCGCTCCCGGCAGCGCCTCCCGCTTCCGCCGCGCCGGGGGCGGGACCGGCCCCGTTAAAGGCGGCGGGGCCGGGAGGTGCCGTGTCTGCCCCGCCATGGCCCAGCCGCCCGAGCAGGTTCGCCCCCGGGGGTCCCTCGCCCCCTTCTTCCTCCCTCTGGTAACTTCTCAGAGCTTACTCTCAGCTCCCCCGCCTCCTGACCGCCTGTCCTGTGTTTCCCCCCTTCCCGCAGGATCTCCTGCTGGCAGCAGCGTTTGTCTCCGATGCGCAGTACAACAGGAATATTCCCTTCAAGACCTCCCCCGAGGCGGTCAGGTAAGCAGGGGTGTGTGCCCCCCATCGCGAAGGAGCTGGGGGGAGCAAGCCACGCACACGGCGACAGCCAAAAAGAAGCGTGGGGCGCTCGGCTGCACCAGCTGGGTGGGTGCGGAGGGTGGGTGCGTGGGCTGCCAGAAACTAGATTTGAGCTGAAATGCTTAAAGCGGGGCTCAGCGCATCTGTGTGCTAAGGGTGGGAAAGGGAATTAAAAACTTGCGTCTTGCTGGAGGAATAGAAACAACATAAAGTCTCCCAAGCCTCTGTGGGGATGAAGAGTCTGAGAGGCTTGGCCAGCCCATCAGCTGTGTGGAAGTGGCAGGGTTTGGTAGCAGGGGGGTCCCAGTTGCCCTGTGTGGGAGAAGCCTGTGCCATCTGGGCACACCTGGCACTTGTTGCCTTGGAACAGGTGACACCAACCCATCACACCCCAAAAGTTCAGGTAATCTGCAGGGGTAATCTGTGGCATCACTGCTCTACTGTGCTCCAGAAAGGGTTGGAGCTGCTGGGAGAGCAGTAATTAAAATCTTCCATTAATTGTGATAAGTGAAATTCCCCAAGCCAAGAACAACTTTGCCTGTGATGGTGGCTCCCCTTTGAGGTGCTGGTGAGAGGCTGGGAAGCTCCAGGCACACTAAAGTCACTCCTTTTCCTGGGAGTCCGAAAGAGGTTCAGTGTGTTTGTCCCAAAGGCTTTGAGCAGGTGTGAGCTGCTGAGGAGGTGGAACACCTCCCTGCTTTGGGAAAACAGCGTTTCATATGATTTGGTCCTGACACCTGAATGGTTAAATGATCGGGTTTTGCACTGTCACCTCTGGGAGGTGTTATTAGAAGAGTAACCTGAAAGCAGGTTATTATAACCTTTATTTTATAATATTAAATAATATTTATAATGAGGTCAAATAATCTATTTGTATAATATGATAAATATTCAAGGATGTAATACTTGTTATATATCATATAACTTTTCCTTGAAAGGGAGTATAGTAATATAATTGGACTATAAAGGGAGTATAATAATATAATTGGAAGCAAATTGCCAAAATCCTGGCTGGCAAAAACATTTGTTTGGGACAGCATGTGCTGCTCTTCCAGGATGCATTTGGTGAGGCCCTGGGGATGTGCCCTGAAGCCTTTGTTTATGGTGCCTCTGCCCTCTTTCTCCAGGCTTTATTATCTCTACAACCACTGGATGATGCGAACAGCCACCTACTTCTTCATCTTTCTCAACCTGTCCCTTGCCATGTTTGAAGAGCCTGCTGTGTATCCGCTCCCCTTCCTGGTGAGTTTTTGGGGTGGAGGCAGCAAGGGTTTCCTGCTGGAAAGGAATTGTCAGAGGTGTCAAGGGATAATAGATGGAGAGAGACTGCTCTCCAAGGGCCCGGAGGGACAGGACGAGGGGGAATGGCTTCAAACTGCCAGAGGGCGGGTTTAGATTGGATTGGGAAGGAATTCTTGGCTGTGAGGGTGAGGAGGCCCTGGCACAGGTTGCCCAGAGCAGCTGTGGCTGCCCCATCCCTGGAAGCGTCCAAGGCCAGGTTTATGGGGCTTGGAGCAACCTGGGCTGGTGGAAGGTGTCCCTGCCCGTGGCATGGGGTGGCACTGGATGAACTTTATGCATTGCAGCAACTTCCAACCCAAACCATTCTGAGATTCTGTGTTTCTGTGATCTGTTGAAATGGAGACCAAAAAGGGGTGCAGGAGCTGGACAGGGACTGTAGAAACCATTGTGGCCATCAGCAAAGGCCAGTGTGACTATGGACAAAGTCACATTGCTGTTCTCCATCTCAGAGAACAATTCCAGCTTTTGGAGAGATCCCAGTCGTACCCTCATATGTGAAACTAGAAGACAAATGTTGTCCTTAGGCCTGACTTCTCTGCAGCCTTTATTTGTTCTGCACCAGTGTGATTGTGACAGGTGTGCTTCTTGAATCCTAAGCAAACCCAAATTTACTGGCTTTAACCTGCCTGTGGCAGGGAATTCCACAAAAAGAAGCCTGGAACTATTGCTCGGTGCCAGGTATGTGAGTGTGCAAAACAACTGACAGCAAATCCCTCCTCTGTACTGACTCTGCCTTTTTGTGCCTGTGCCTAAACACCCTCATCTGTGCAGGAAGGGGTAGTGCTGCTCCTGGTTGTGCTGATGAGCCCCTCCTGTCCCTCTGCAGGTCACATCCGTGCTGGAGGTGTTGTGCCTGCTGGTGTTCCTGGGCCGACTGGCACACTTTGCCACAGTCACCCAGCACAGCGTGTTCTGGAAGGACACCAAGAACATCTGCATCATGGTGGCAATCCTGGTGAGTCGGGCCCAGGGCAGCCTCTGAGGTCCAAGCGGCCAACCTGGAGGTGGTTTTTTCCTCCTGTTGCTTTCCTGGTATTGCAGACCTGACGAGATCCATGGCCAAACCACGCAGCTCTCAAAACCCGTCGTGTGTGCACCTGGCTTGTATCAGCTCACACTGTTTCCTTCACCATCCAGACACGTTTCCATTGTTACTTCTGGGGTTTTTCCTTCTTTTTCCTGCAGTTATCCCTGACAGACTTGGCCATCTATGGGGTGCTCAGGGTGTACGGCGTGAGGAGCATCCGATGGTCGAGGATTGTGAGGCCCATCTTCCTGATCAACTTTGCGGAGAGTCGCCAGGTAAAGGCCTGGTGGGATGTTCAGGGGCCTGTCTTTTGGACAGCCTGCTGCTTTCTGAGATCCAGGGGATGTAGCAGAAAGGGTTTTCTGCAGAAAGGGCAGAATTTGGGGTCCAGTGAGTGAAGGTTTCTCTCGGAGGTGGCCTGAGACAGACAAGAGGGTGGATTCACACCACCACAGGCTCCAAACCTGTTCTTCCCTGAGTCAGGAGCCAGGTTACTTATTCCTGGGAGTCTCCTGGGTAAACAAGTGTCATGGTGTTGTCAAACCTGTAGCCCAGATGGGTGATTTGGACTCTGATTCCTCTCATCACAGGGAGATCTTTGCCCTCCTGCCCAAGACTGCTCTGCTCCTGACTTACAAATGAGTAAACTGTGGTGTGGGGGCCCGGGGGAGGGAGCAGTTGAGCTTTAGGACTCAGAGCATGTGCTTTGTGGCCTGGAGCGATGGATTTCAGTCCCTCACTGATCCCCTGCAACAAGGGCATCTCAGCAGTGCCACAGGGCTCTGTCTGGCTCGCTGAGTTTGTGGTGCTGTGTGGGTGGGGATCCTTCTGGGATCTCCCCTGGAGAACGACAAGGAAAGGCCTGGGACTCCTGCACAGGTTTTATCAGAACAGAGCTGGTACATCTGGTGCCTCTGTCCCACTTGGCTTGCCTGTCCCTGTGGGGGAGTTTGATGCAGATGGGATTGTGAGCAGAAAAGGGGTCCCACTTTGGTTCTGAACCCTTCCCTTCCCCCGGCAGATCCGGAGAGCCTTCCGCAGCATCCGCAACACGCTGCCAGAGATCACCTACGTCTTCCTGCTCTTCATGTTCAGCCTGCTCATGTTCTCCCTCATGGCCCTGAAGCTGTTTGGAGAGAGGTGTGGATGCTTCTTTTGCTTGGAGCTGGATGGGGAGAACACGTGGGATCCTTTGGGCAGGAGGGAGCCTGGTGACTCCAGACCATTATTAGGGAATGCAAGCACCGCTGATGTGTGCAGCTCCCTCAGTGCTTAACTCCAGACTGTCCTTTTCCTCCTAGGAATCTCCAGACAGCAGAAGGTTTGCCATATTTCAGAAACTACCTGGAAATCGTGTTTGACCTCTACGTGCTGGTGACGACGGCGAACAGCCCGGACGTCATGTATGTCATGTCTGCATGATCAGGTGTCTTTCTCCCATAATATTTCCACACATGTAAAATGCATTTGTGCAAATAGTTTATACTGCTACGCAGCCTTTTTTAATTTGCACAGCACTGTTAAAATTCTGTGAGGGTTGGGCTTCCCATCCTCGTCTGTTCTAACTGGGTTCCCATTTTGATTGGTGCTGGGAAGGTGCCATCAGAGAGTGGGACAGGGAGGAATGGCATGTTTGCTGCGTGTTGGAGATGTACTGAACACATCTGGAATGGCACAGGAACCCTGGGAATTTAAACAGAGGAATAAAATGCTGCTCATCCTCTTAGAGCAAGGAAAAGGAGGTCTGAGTGCAGTGAGGGTCTGAGGGTATAAACCAGCTTAGGACTGAGGCACCTCAAGTCTCTGCACTTAAATGTGGCCACAAGGACAGAATATTAATCTCTGTGCTCTCTCTCCTGCATCACTTCAGTCAGACAAACCAGGATGAAAACCCAGCAGAAGAAAACTGTTCTCTAGCTGAACTAATGCAGTTTTTAGCTTGGGTGTTGCCTGCCTATCACAACAGCACGTAGAAATCCAGCTGGGAGTCTGTTTCCTTGTGGATTCTCTTTCCCTGTGTGTCAGCTTAGCAAGCAGCAATCCCTCTGCCCTTCTGTAGGATGCCAGCATTTGACTTCAGCTCCTGGTACGCCCTGTTCTTCATCGCCTTCGTCATCGTCAACACGTACATCTTCATGTCTCTCTTCCTGGCTGTGGTGTACAACAACTATAAAAAACACCTCAAGGTAATGCTTGGAGGGGGAATGGCCTGCTGTGCTCTGTAACCTGGTGGGGAAACCTCTGCCTTCCCCTTGGGAGCTTTTCCTGCTGTGGGGATTGCTGTGAGTTCTGCTGTTGATATTTAAGAATTAAATATTCTGTGGTGCTTTGAGCCCAACAGACAGGAAGCACATGTCTGCAGTATCGTGGAGGCTTAGTCCTAGCTCAGAAATGCTGCCTCCATGCAGGGAGCTGTTCTCAGATGGTTTTAAGTGCTCAGCACACTTGTTCTGCCACTGCATGTGCTCTTAAAGCAAAGGAACTGGAAATGGGAAGTCTGGGTAAATCAGAATTCTTGTTCTACCCAAACTGGGGAGGGGCAATCTGGGATTTGTGATCAAAGAGGGAGAGCTGGAAATTCCTGGGTGCTCCCACAAAGGGATTGGCTGTTTCTCAGGAAGCAGCCTGGGTATCCCCAGCATTCCAGGTTCTTTAGCCTGCTCATAATCCCCTGCAGAAGAGGATCTGCACCCTGATCTCAGCAGTATTCACTTATGGATGTGTCCAGCATGTGGACACATCCTCTTTGCTTCTGTGACCGTGCAGATCCCGTGATCTTTGTCACCTCCTTCCTGTCTGACGCTTCCCTTTGTCTGTCCTTCCGTTTTGTCAGTGCTCTCCCAGCATCCAGAGATCTGTTGATCCTTCCCGAGCGCTGCCTGTTAAACACCATTTCTCATCACCCTCACCACCTGCGCTGTGCTTTGTATCTAACATCACTCCCAGCGTGTTCCCCTGAGTCTCATCTCGCTTTTGTGTTGTGAAAATGAGATTATTTGTGAAAAAAGGAGGGGGAAGGGTGACTGGAGCTGCCTGAATCTCGATGCTGTCCCTAGAATGAGATCCGTAAGCTCGCTTACATGAAGCGCCGCAAGATGATTGAGGCCTTCAACCTCCTGAAGGAAGAGGAGGGGGAGCAGCTGGTGGTTCGAGAAGCCCGCTGGAAGCAACTGGTCAAACTGGTGGCTCCTGATATCAGCAACTCCCACCGGGAGCTGCTGCTCCGCATCTCAGATGATGAGCAGAAGGGGTTCATAGGTGAGCACACGCCTGAGGCAGTGGGGAGTTCCTCTCGCTCTGCTCCTGCTGGTGTGGGAATATCAGGAGGGATGGGTCAGTCTCCTCGTGTGGGATCATTCTGTAGTGGTTGTTGCCCTGTGGTTTGTGCCAGTTCCCCAGGAATGGGTGGGAGGAGCTGTTTGAGTGCCAAGTTCAGCCTGTTGTGGACACTGCTTGGGGCCCGGGCACCGCTGCCGCTGTGAACAGATCCCAACTCCAGCTCTGCCTCTGCCAGACACTGGGTCCTTATTTAGCAACAGCAGACTGATGTGTGATGCTCTCCCCTGCCGCAGACAAGAAGTCCTTCGTGCAGCTGGCAGACCTGCTGAACATCCAGGTGGTGACGCTGACGCTCCGCAGGCACCCCCTGGCGCGGTGGGCGCCCCGCGCGTACGGCTCGGTGGCCAGCCGGCTCCTGCGCGGCCTGGTGAGGCACAGGTGAGCCTGCCAGGGCAGCTCCCAGCCCGGGGCTCCCCTGGGGAGTGCACACTGCGTTCAGGCCAGGCTTCTGTGCACCAGCTCTGCTCTCTGCCTGCCTGCAGGGCTGTGGAGAAACTATGGGCGAGTCTGCGCCTTGCCCGGTCCCACTTGCTCAGCTCTTGTGCAGGGACCGGTGTAAGTGGGCTTGTGGCCTGCCAGACTAAGGCCTTCACTGAAAGCTGAGCTGACCTCAGCAATCTCTGCGGCAAAGCTGCCTTGTGCTGCCTCATCAGCTCTTACCGGTCAGTACAGTGAGCTGTGGTGCCCTGTTTGACCTCCGAGTCTTCCCAGAATTCCAAAATTGATGGGGTTGGAAGGAACATCTAGAGAGAGTCTGGTGTGACCCCCTGCTCAGAGCAAGGTCATCTGCAGTAGAATATTGAGGGCTATGTCTAGCTGGATCTAGAGTATCTCCAAGGATGGAGACCCCATAATTTCTCTGCAGCCCATTCCAGTGCTTGACCACCCTCAATTAAAAAAAAAAAAAAAAAAAAAAAAGACTTTTTTGTTGAAATGGAACTTCCTGTATTTCAACTTGTGCTCTTTGCCTCTCATGCTTTCACTGGACACCATTGGGAAGAGTCTGGCTCCATCTTCCCTACACCTTCCCATCAGGTATTTATACATACTGAGCTGCTCCTGACGCTTCTCCTTGTCAGGCTGGCAACCCCAGCTCTCCCAGCACATCCTGTGTGGGACTGTCCTGTCCTTCCATTGGATTTGTGACCCTTGGATGTACTAGTTTGAGTGTGTTCAGGGCTCTCTTGTACTGGGCAGCCCAGCTGACACAGCACTCCAAATGTGGCCTCACCAGTGCTCAGTAGATGGGAAGAATCTCTTCCCTGGACCTGCTAACATCACTCTCCAGTTTTTGTGTTGGGCTTCAAGAGGAGAACTAAACTGCTCAGTAACTTCCCAAAAGTCTCAGGTTTGGGGAGAACTGATGGGTAAAGGATGTTTGAGAGAGGAGGCAAAGGGCTTCAGAAGTGACTGTGTAACTTTGACCTTCTTGGGAGTGACAAACTGATCTCTCTTTCTCCTTGCAGGGCTTTTGTTTGGGCTTACGATGCAATCATCCTGATAAATGCCATCTTTATCGCTCTGGATGAGGAAACCCCTTACGTCTCCTACGCCGAGTGGGTGTTCCTGGCGCTGTACATCGGCGAGATCCTCCTGAAGCTGTACACGTACGAACCGAGGGCCTTCTTCGGGAAAACCCAGTTCTGGAACTGGTGAGTGGGACGGGCTCCGTGCTGAAGGTGGTGTGAAGCGTGCTGAGGTCTCTGTGTTCAGCTCCTCGAGGACTGAGCGGCTCCTGGAGGGATGTGCTGCCTGACTCCCGTGCCAGGAGGGTGTTGTGCTCTTTCCTGGCCTGCCCTGGCTCTGAGCTGCTCTTCTCTGCCCTGACCAAGGGCACTCTGCAGCGTGAAGATGGTGGGCAATGGAAAGAGTTTTACTAAACAAAGCTTCCTCACCTGCCCACAGTCTGAGACAGCACAGGGCTGCCTGGCACAGATGGGAGGAAGAGGGGTCGCTCCTTGTCTAAGGCCCTTCCCCATCACCCCAAATCTAACAGCGCTGCCTTCCCTCGTGCCAGGTTTGACACTCTCATCATCTTTGCTGCCCTGACTGCAACGATTCTCAATGCCACCCTGAAGTCGAGTAAGTGCAGCTTTAGCAGCGTGCATGCCTGGGCATCCTGGTGGTCTCCATCAGCCTTCTGCCATCACCTTGGGACTGGGTGTCTTTTGGACAGGACAAGGAGTTTCCTGGAGGGTTTCTAAGAACTAACACGATCTTTCTCTTTCTCTCTCTCTTTTTTTTTTTTTTTTTTTTTGTTTTAGCTCCCTGTTACAGTGTTTAACAAGGACATAATAGTAATGAATTGATGAACTTTATCTTAACACTTCCCTGCTTATTTTTCATAATGAACACGTCTCTTTTTTTTTTTTTTCTTTTTTCTCAGCCACGAAGTACAACAGCCAGCAGATCCTGGACATCGTGTTCATCCTGCGAGTCCTGCGGCTCATCCGCATCGTCGACAGCATTCAGAGGTAATGCAGAGAGCAGGCTGGGGATGTGGTTTTTGGGGAGGGGGCCAGAGGCTGGCTGAGACAGTGCCCTGAGTGCCCTGCATGGCCCCTTTGGGGCCACCATGGCCACTCCACAAAGCCTCCCAGGGCCTTGTTCTAACCTGCCTGGGGTGAGCCCAGTTGCTGCAGCCTCTCTGGAGACTTGGTTTGTTTATGTGGGGAGCGTTTGGTGGCTGGGGTGTGACAACAGAAATGTCCCAGAGCCTCCCCACAGCAGGTGTTGTGACCCGTTTGCTGTAGGTTCCGGGTCATCATGAACACCCTGATAAACATCGTCCCGACGATGCTGACTTTTGGTGGGCTGACTCTGGTAAGAAATCCTGGTCTCTTAGCTCAAAGCGCTCCAGTCTTACAGGAATATGTCTTAACTCTCCCACTCGTGCTGTTTCCAAGGGGATAAATGCAAATCCCTGGATGGCAGGCCCTTGGAACTGTAAGTGTCCTTTTGATGTGTGGTTGTTGCTCAAGCAAATATGTGCAGAGGGGCTGGGTTCCTGCTGGATCAGGATCTTCCTTGGATCCATGGGGCAATGAAGGAGTTCTGGCTTTGCATCAGAAGGAATCAAACGTGGTTTGGGCAAGAGGCTGACTGAGAAATCTGGTTCTCAAATGATTTCCTAGAATCGGCTTCTGTTGTGATTTGGGAATGCTTCCTTTCCGTGTATATATAGTTCTTGGCTTATTATTCCCGCCTGGTGGCTGCTGCTGGGTGGCTTGTGTCTCTTGGACTCTGTGCAGCTCCCCAGCGCCTCGCTGTGCCTGTGGAAACCGGGAAGCCTGCTGGGATGCTAAGCTTGCCCTGGAGCTCGGCTGCTTGCTGGAGAAGCAGGTGACGGGGTTTCTCTTCCCAGGTTGTGTACTGTGTGTTCGCTATCATTGGCATGGAGCTGTTCCACGGGAAGATCCAGTTCTTCCCCGCCGACTCCAGCGCTCCTCACGCGCTGGCGTGCGGGAACGCGGCCCTGAAGGACTCCCTGTTTGCCCGGGGCAAGTACTGCAAGAACAACTTCAACGACTTCGCCTCCTCCTTCATCGTCCTCATGGAGCTCACCGTGGTCAACCAGTGGCACGATATCCTTTGTGGTGCCACCCCGAGCTTGGGCAGCAGGGCCCAGTGACCCTTGTGGGTCCCTTCCCGCTCAGGTTATCCCGTAATCCGTGCTCTGCTCTTCCCCTGCCGCTGCACACGGACAGGCAACAGGGAAGTGGTCTGTGCTGTGGGGCTTTGTGGGTGGTCTTTCCTGGTTCCTCCCTCAGCACCTTGTTCTCCTCCTGCCCTCTTGTCCTTGACTCCCACTCCACTCTTTGCCAACGGATTTGCCAACGTGACAGTTCAGCCTGCCAAGCTGTACTTCATTGCCTTCCACATTGTGATGGTGATAATCATTGTCAAGTGAGTTTTGGGTTGATTTCACCCGCTTTGGAGGGAAGAGGGGCCCGTCCCCCTGCCAGGGCACTGCTGGTGGTCCCAGGGTCACCCCTGCTGTGCCGTCTCTGAGACGGGTGGGATGTGTTCAGAGGGATGTGCTACATCCTCATCCCCACTGAGTGCTGCTCTGTCGTAGAGCTCCCCATCTCCAATGGAAGGAGGGGCTGGAATGCTGGGAAATGAGCCTGGGAATACAGAGGTGCCAGTAAGGAAATGCTGCCATGTAATTCTGCTCATCATTTCTTCCAGCATCTTCGTGTCCTTCATCTTGGAAGCTTTCTTTGTGGAGTACTCCCTGGAGAAGAGTGAAGTGGAAACTGCCATCGAGCAGAAAATCCAGGAGCTGGGAATGGGAGTTCAAGAGTAAGCCCCCTAAATGGGTAGAGCTGGGTGTGGCTGACAGGGGCTGTGGGCCTGGAGGGAAAAGCCACCCTCTGTGTTGAGGTGTGAGCTGAGATTCCTCTTCCCAAAGTTCTGGCTCCTCAGCCGTGCAGACCATGGGCATTGTCCTCCCTTGGCACTGCCAGCCCAGGGCTCCTCCCCGGAGGACAGGAGACGTGCTGGCATTAACCCTATGGCTGGTGTTCTCCCTGCCCTGGAGAACCCATCCCTGCTGGGATCACGTGGGACCCTGGGATGGGATGTGCCCCCCTTCCCAGGGTAACCTCCAGCCCCTCCTGTGCAGGGATGAGCTCCAGGATGAACAGCTCCTGGATAACATGGAGAGTGACGAGCACGAACTCGAGGGGGAAGGTGGCACGAAGGCACAGCCCAGAGGGCTGGTGTTTAAAATTGCCTCCAAACGTAAGTGTGTCCCTCCAGTGTGTCCCCTTCAGAAGATCTCCCAAGCTTTCCTGCTTGGCCTACAAAAGCAGCTAAAACCCACCTGGAGACTCTGGGAGAAATGCAGACACTAATGTTTGCTGTTTCTTTTTATTTCTGTAGCAGCTTTTCCTCTCCTCCCTGGGCCTTCTGTGTTCCTTGTCCTCATTTAACCACCCTCTGAAGACACTGCCTTGGTGGCTGAGTAGTTCCTGCATTGCCAAGAATCCTGCTTTCCTTTCTCCTTCCTCTGTGGACTTTGCATTCCTCCGGGCTCGGATCACGGGGTGACTATATCCTCCTTTCTGCTACTACTTTCCCTTCTCCTCCTGGCTCTCTTGCTGTTCCTCAGCAGCTCCTCTTGGCTGGCTGGGATCAGGTGTCCATTGTGTGGAAATAGAGGGGCTTAAAATGCTAAATAATGCTTTTACCCCTGACGAGCACCCACAGTGCTTTAAATATAAAAATATATTTATATATATATATGGGTGGAGTACCTTGGAATGTAATCCGGGGGATTTCCCTGTCCCCCCAGGATACAGGACGGTGGATGCTCTGCTCCAGCGCATGTTTGAGGCAGAGATTCCCCTGGAGGATGAAGGCCCTTCCTTTGAAGAGATCCTGAACTTGTCCCCCAGCGCTGCCGTTCCCAGGAATCCGAGTTCGGCGTGACGGGCGGGGCAGGAGGGAGGAGCCGATTCCCGGCTCTCCAGATCCCTGGAGTTGTTCCCTGGCTGCTCCCGTGCGGGGCCCGGGTCGCGCGGTGGAAGGGGCAGCTGGTGCCCCGAACAGCTCCGTCATGGAAAGGAGCTTTATCCCATGTACAGGCTGTAAATGCCGGGTTGGAAGGCGAGGGGGGTCGGGGGATCTGGCTGTGCCGGATGTTATGGGATAAGTACTTTTGTAACTGGAATTCTGTATGGCAGCACTTTCCTATGCAGCTCTGGAGCAGTGACACTGGGGGGAGTGGCTCTGGAGCACAATAAATCCAGCAGTGTGCAAAAACAACAGCGTGTCTTGGTGTTACTGGTGGGAGAGGGTCTGGGATCCTGGGAATAGGGCTGGGATGGGGCAGGAGCTGGGGGCTGCTCCTCACTCTGATACTGCTGAGTGCACAACCCGACTCTGGGCTGGGAGGAATCTCAATGGGATTGGTTTTTTGGCCCAAGACAAACTTTCCAAAACTGGGAGCAAGGCAAGTGCCAAGGCAGAAAACTCCAAGGGGCTAGTGGGAAGGGCTTTCTCCCAGGCCAGGGCAGAGCTCAGCTGGAATGATTTAAAAGTGTTAGATGTCACTCCCTTGTTTCCCTGTCCAGAGCAGAGTTGGTGTTCCCTGAATTGGATGTGGTTTCTGTTGGAGAGTGGGAGAAATGTCCCTCCTGGGTGGTGTGTCCTGCTGTGAATGTATTTGTGTTGCAGCTCAATAAAGTCCATTTCAGTGGTGATTGTGTGGATGGGCAGGTTTTTGGACTTAAAAAGGAGTTTGATTCTCTCCAGCCAGTGAATGCAAATATTGAGGCAAACTGAGGTGATCAGTGGTGGACAGGTATGGAAACTTTGGAGTGTTAAACTTCAAATGTTCTGGTGGGTAGAGATTGAGTCTTTGGAGGTAAATTGAGGTAACCCAACAATATTCCACAGCACGTGTTGCTTCTGTTTTAAGAACTGAAAATAACTTTAAAGCAAAATAAATTACATTATCCTCTTCTTGTTTCCTTGTAGATGGTGGAATTGCCTGTCTGTCTGTGAGCTGAGCTCTGGCTGCAGGGGACTGTCAGTCATTATTGGCTGTGAGTTCCTGTTCTTCTCCCTGGGAAATTGGAAATCATTCTCAGGTTGCAGAAATGTTTTCTGAAACCTTTCTTTTTCCTCTGCCTTTGGCTAAAAGATGTCCACTTTCTGATTTGGGATTTACAGCTGTTCCCCCCAGGAGAGGGACAGGAGAAAGGCCCTGAGGGCAAAGGGACCTCCCTGTGTCCACAGTTATGGGTTAACAAAACTAAAATCAGAGATGTAGAGGAAGGAAAAGTGTGGGGGTAAAACTGAATGTTATTTGTAGGGGAGAGAATGATCGGTGAGAGGTAAACTGAGGCCATCAGCCCTGGGCAGGTAAGCAAAGCTTTGGGGTAAAACTTGAGAAAATCTCTGGGATAGAAAATGAAGATTTGGAGGTAAAAATGAGTTAATCAGAGGTGTGCAGGAAGAGAAAACTTTAGGGGTTAAATCTGAGGTGATCTGTGGGGGAGAGAATGAAGATCTTGTGTGAAAAAAAGAAGAGATGAGTTGTAGCTGGAAGGGCAGGTTTTGGGGCTTAAAAAGGAGGTTCATTTTCTCCAGGCAGTGAATGCAAATATTGAGGCAAACTGAGGTGATCAGTGGTGGACAGGTATGGAAACTTTGGAGTGTTAAACTTCGGGTGATCTGGTGGGTAGAGACTGAGTCTTTGGAGGTAGATTGAGGTTGTCAGCAGTGGAGAGGAGGGGATCATTTTGGGGTCTCCCTTGGGTTGCTGCTTTGTCCCGTGGCTGCAGCGAGGCTGAGCCCTGTCCCTGCTGTTTCAGGAGCGTCCCGGGGCGGGGGCTGTGCGGCAGAGAGGGCAGGGGGGGCTGTGGAGCTGCCCCGGGGGGCGCGGGGGGTCCTTTGCAGGCGGCGGCGCTGTCGGGGCTGCAGTACCGGCCGTGTCCGCCAGGCGGAGACTGCGGGGGCGCCCCCCGAGGGATGAGCCGGGCAGGGAACGGAGGGAGGGCTGAGGGGAGAGGGCTGGGAGTGTTGGGATGAGCCGGGCAGGGAACGGGGAGCTCCGATCGGTCCTTGGGCAGGAACTGAACTCAGGAGCTCAGCTGCTCCTGCCCCAGAGAGCATCACTGAAATCAGCACTATTGCCCTGGTGTGTGCCCACTGCCAATTGTTCACCCAACAAAATTCCAAAGCAAGGGTTGCTTCTGTTTTAAGAACTGAAAATAACTTTAAAACAATAAATCACATTTCCTTCTTCTTTCTCCATTTAGATGGTGGAATTGCCTGTCTGTCTGTGAGCTGAGCTCTGACTGCAGGGCACTGTCAGACATTATTGGCTGTGAGTTCATGTTCTTCTCCCTGGGAAATTTGAAATCATTCTCAGTTAGGTTGCAGAAATCTTTTCTGAAGCCTTTTGCCGATAGATCTCCTCTTTCTGCCATGGGATTTGCAGCTTTTCCCCCATGGAGAATGTCAGGAGAAAGGCCCTGAGGGCAAAGGGACCCCCCTGTGTCCACAGTTAAGGGTTAACAAAGCTAAAATACAATATGTAGAGGAAGAAAAAGTGTGGTGTAAAACTGAATGTTATTTGTAGGGGAGAGAATGACCAGTGAGACGTAAACTGAGGCCATCAGCAGTGGTCAGGTAAGGAAAGCTCTGGGGGTAAAACTTGAAAAAAATCTCTACAATATAAAATGAAGATTTGGAGGTAAAGATGAGTTAATCAGAGGTGTGCAGGAAGAGAAAACTTTAGGGGTTAAATGTGAGGTGGTCTCTGGGAGACAGAATGAAGATCTTGTGTGACAAGAAGAAGTGATGAGTTGTGGCTGGAAGGGCAGGTTTTTGGACTTTAAAAAGAGTTTGATTCTCTCCAGGCAGTGAATGCAAATATTGAGACAAACTGAGGTGATCAGTGGTGGACAGGTATGGAAAATTTGGAGTGTTTAACTTCGGGTGATCTGGTGGGTAGAGACTGAGTCTTTGGAGGTAGACTGAGGTTGTCAGCAGTGGAGAGAAGGGGATCATTTTGGGGTCTCCCTTGGGTTGCTGCTTTGTCCCGTGGCTGCAGCGAGGCTGAGCCCTGTCCCTGCTGTTTCAGGAGCGTCCCGGGGCGGGGGCTGTGCGGCAGAGAGGGCAGGGGGGGCTGTGGAGCTGCCCCGGGGGGCGCGGGGGGTCCTTTGCAGGCGGCGGCGCTGTCGGGGCTGCAGTACCGGCCGTGTCCGCCAGGCGGAGACTGCGGGGGCGCCCCCCGAGGGATGAGCCGGGCAGGGAACGGAGGGAGGGCTGAGGGGAGAGGGCTGGGAGTGTTGGGATGAGCCGGGCAGGGAACGGGGAGCTCCGATCGGTCCTTGGGCAGGAACTGAACTCAGGAGCTCAGCTGCTCCTGCCCCAGAGAGCATCACTGAAATCAGCAGTGATGGCCTGGCCTGTACCCATTGCCAATTATTCACCCAAGAAAAATTCCAAAGCAAGTGTGGGTTTGCTTTAAGCAACTAAAATATCTTTAAAGCAAAATAAATCACCATTTCTTTCTTTTTGCTTCCTTTTAGATCTGTCCGTGAGCTGAGCTCTGGCTGCAGGGCACTGTCAGTCATTATTGGCTGTGAGTTCGTGTTCTTCTCCCTGGGAAATTGGAAATCATTCTCAGTTAGGTTGCAGAAATATTTTCTGAAGCCTTTCCATTTCATCTGCCTTTGGCTAAAAGATGTCCATATTCTGATTTGGGATTTACAGCTGTTCCCCTCCTGGAGAGGGGCAGGAGAAAGGCCCTGAGGGCAAAGGGACCTCCCTGTGTCAACAGTCATGGGTTAACAAAGCTAAAATCAGAAATGTAGAGGAAGGAGAATTGTGGTGGTAAAACTGAATGTTATTTGTAGGAGAGAGCATGACCAGTGAGAGGTAAACTGAGGCCATCAGCAGTGGGCAGGTAAGCAAAGCTTTGGGGATAAAACTTGAGAAAATCTCTATGGTAGAAAATGAACCTTTGGAGGTAAAAATGAGTTAATCAGAGGTGTGCAGGAAGAGAAAACCTTAGTGTTAAATCTGAGGTGATCTCTGGGAGAGAGAATGAAGATCTTGTGTGAAAAAAAGAAGAGATGAGTTGTAGCTGGAAGGGCAGGTTTGGGGGCTTAAAAAGGAGGTTCATTTTCTCCAGGCAGTGAATGCAAATATTGAGGCAAACTGAGGTGATCAGTGGTGGACAGGTACGGAAAATTTGGGGTGTTTAACTTCAGGTGATCTGGTGGGTAGAGACTGAGTCTTTGGAGGTAGATTGAGGTTGTCATCAGTGGAGAGAAGGGGATAATTTTGGGGTCTCCCTTGGGTTGCTGCTTTGTCCCGTGGCTGCAGCGAGGCTGAGCCCTGTCCCTGCTGTTTCAGGAGCGTCCCGGGGCGGGGGCTGTGCGGCAGAGAGGGCAGGGGGGCTGTGGAGCTGCCCCGGGGGGCGCGGGGGGTCCTTTGCAGGCGGCGGCGCTGTCGGGGCTGCAGTACCGGCCGTGTCCGCCAGGCGGAGACTGCGGGGCAGGCACTGCGGGACACGGCCCGGGGTGGGGAGGGGGCGCCGCGGGTGGGACCCCCTGCGGGGGGGAAATGGTGCCCCTGAAATGGGGGCCTCTGCTGGGCTATTGCACTGCTACCCCTCGTGTTTGGGGATGAACCCTCTGGGGAGCCATGGGAACAGCAGGGGGAGAGCCAGGAGCCTTGGCTCATTTGGCCAAGTTCAGAAACAGACACTACGTTGTGCTTCAGGGCTTCAAACCAGGGGCACTCGAGTGGCATTTGGGATCACAAAGAGACCCAGTCCTGTGTTTTGGGATCATGAAAGCAGGGTCAGCCAGCCAGCGATTGGGCTTCACAGAGACAGAGTGCTGCATTTTGGGGGGTTGAAGTACAGCCCAAATCCCGTGTTTCGGTGCTCAAGCCGGGCTCGTTTGTGCAGGGTGAGTCCCTGTTTCTCAGCTTCAAGTCCTGCCCTTGGCACAGCCCAAACCTGGGCTCACCCGGCCCCATTTCGAGCTCAGAACCAGCGACTCGGCGCCGCGTTTGGGGCCGGGGGCAGAGCCCCGATGCCGAGTTTTGGGGCTCCAACGGGGCTCCCGGAGCGGTTTTAGGGCTCGGAGCAGAGCCCAAGTGCCGCGTTCGGGGGCTGGGAGCAGAGCTCAGCCCTGCACGTCGGGCTCGGCCCGGGAGTGGCACCGGCCGAGCTGGGACGACCCCAGTCCCGGTCCCCGCTCCAATCCCGCCTCGGTCCTGCGGCTCCGAGCCCCGAGCGGTGGTCCCGCACCCCCGGGAGGAGCGGCCGCCGCAGCGGGCGGGGCCGGGGCGGGGCGGGGACAGGTACGCGGGGCGGGGACAGCACAGGTGAGAGCGGGGAGGGTCCGGCACAGGTGAGGGGGGTCCCAGGGCAGCTGCGCGGGGCGGGACCGAGCTGATTTCAGCCCCGGGAAGCGCTGCTTGCGCCATTTGCTCCTTCAGAGGGCGAGGTGGGCGGCAGGGAGCTCCAGGCTTCCAGCCCTCTCCTCCGCTGCCTCTCTTTCTTCCCCCCTCTACTTCTCCTTCTTTCCCCACTCTAGTTCTCCTTCTTCCCCTGCTCCATTTCTCCTTCTTCCCCTCTTTACCTTTCTTTTCCCCCCCCCACTTCTCCTTCTTTCCCCCTCTAACTCTTCTTTCTCACCCCAAACCTCTCTCTTTCCTTACTCCGTACTACTCTTCTTCTTCTCCTGCCCTATCCCCCTTCCTCCCACCCCAACCCTCTCTCCCCCTACACTCCCACTCTCCTGCTAACACCCCCTGAGCCCCCCCAACCTCTCCTTCCTGCCCTGTCGCTTCCCTGCTGTCCAGCCCGATCCCCCCCCTCTATTCGGTCCACCCTTCCTTCTCCCCCACCACCCGGTCTCCCCTTTCCACCCCTCGCCCCACTCCCGGGCACCCCTATCCCCCTCTATTCCTCTTTCCTCCCTCTCCTTCCTTCAACCCCATCTGTCCCTCTAGACCCGGCTTCCCCCTACCCGCCCTGCTCCCTTGTGCACCCTGACCCCCTCCCTACCTCTCCACATACCCCTTATCCCCCTTTCCCCACTTTCTCTCTACTCCCCCTCCCTACTCTGCCCCACACCCCGATCCCTCCCCTCCGTCCCCCTGTCCCCGTGCGTGTCCCCGCACCCGCGGGGTTTGGTTTGGGGGCGCCGGTTTAATAAAGCCGCGATGGCCCGACCCGGCGCCCCCCCTGGATCCCCCACACGGGGCCGGGCCCGCTCGGCGGGTCCCCCCATGCAGTTCACAAGCACCGCCCGACACGGCCGGGGCTCCGGCCCGTCCCGACATCACACTTGGGGCTCCGCGGGAGGGTGCGGGGGGCAAATCCTGCGGGATCGGTCTCGGCAATAGACGCCGCGGTCTGCAGAGATCTGCGTCTCTATTGCCGACACCGAACCCGCGGGATGGGGGCCGGGAGGGGCTCCTCCGGAGGAGGGGGTCCGGGGAGGGGGTTGGAGGGGGACTTCCCCTCCAATTCCCTCCTCCTCGGAATCCCCTCCTCTGGACAGGGCCCCGGGGAGGGGAGTGGGTGGGAGGGAGGGGGTGGAGGAGGTGGGGAGTGGGGGAGGGGTGGGGTGCCAGGAGGGTCGCTGCTGTGTGTGTCTATTTCTATATTTACGGCTCAGAGTGACGTGACGCACCTGGTACCCCCCCACACCTCCCTGCCACCCCCTCCTCCTCCTGCCATCCCACCCCCTCCCACCCCCTCCTCCCTCCTCCTCCCTCACACCCTCCCACTCCCTCCTCCCCGGGGCCCTGTCCAGAGGAGGGGATTCTGAGGAGGAGGGAATTGGAGGGAAGTCCCCTCCAACCCTCCTCCCGGACCCCCTCCTCCGGAGGGGCCCTCCCGGCCCCCATCCCGCGGGTCTCGGTCTCGGCAATAGAGCCGCAGATCTCTGCAGACCGCGGCGTCTATTGCCGAGACCGATCCCGCAGGATTTGCCCCCGCACCCTCCCGCGGAGCCCCAGTGTGATGTCGGGATCGGGCCGGAGCCCCGGCCGTGTCGGGCGGTGCTTGTGAACTGCATGGGGGACCTGCCGAGCGGGCCCGGCCCCGTGTGGGGATCCAGGGGGCGCCGGGTCGGGCCATCGCGGCTTTATTAAACCGGCGCCCCCAAACCAAACCCTGCGGGTGCGGGGACACGCACGGGGGACAGGGGGACGGAGGGGGACGTGGGTCGGGGTGTGGGGCAGAGTAGGAGGGGGAGTAGGGAGAAAGTGGGGAAAGGGGGATAAGGGGGTATGTGGAGAGGTAGGGAGGGGGGTCGGGGTGCACAAGGGAGCAGGGCGGGTAGGGGGAAGCCGGGTCTAGAGGGACAGATGGGGTTGAAGGAAGGAAAGGGGAGGAAAGAGGAATAGAGGGGGATAGGGGTGCCCCGGGAGTGGGGCGAGGGGTGGAAAGGGGAGACCGGGTGGTGGGGGAGAAGGAAGGGTGGACCGAATAGAGGGGGGGGATCGGGCTGGACAGCGGGGAAGCGACAGGACAGGAAGGAGAGGTTGGGGAGGGGGGCTCAGGGGGTGTTAGCAGGGAGAGTGGGAGTGTAGGGGGAGAGCGGGTTGGGGTGGGAGGAAGGGGGATAGGGCAGGAGAAGAAGAAGAGTAGTACGGAGTAAGGAAAGAGAGAGGTTTGGGGTGAGAAAGAAGAGTTAGAGGGGGAAAGAAGGAGAAGTGGGGGGGGGAAAAGAAAGGTAAAGAGGGGAAGAAGGAGAAATGGAGCAGGGGAAGAAGGAGAACTAGAGTGGGGAAAGAAGGAGAAGTAGAGGGGGGAAGAAAGAGAGGCAGCGGAGGAGAGGGCTGGAAGCCTGGAGCTCCCTGCCGCCCACCTCGCCCTCTGAAGGAGCAAATGGCGCAAGCAGCGCTTCCCGGGGCTGAAATCAGCTCGGTCCCGCCCCGCGCAGCTGCCCTGGGACCCCCCTCACCTGTGCCGGACCCTCCCCGCGCTCACCTGTGCTGTCCCCGCCCCGCGTACCTGTCCCCGCCCCGCCCCGGTCCCGCCCGCTGCGGCGGCCGCTCCTCCCGGGGGTGCGGGACCACCGCTCGGGGCTCGGAGCCGCAGGACCGAGGCGGGATTGGGGCGGGGACCGGGACCGGGGTCGCCCCAGCTCGGCCGGTGCCACTCCCGGGCCGAGCCCGACGTGCAGGGCTGAGCTCTGCTCCCAGCCCCCGAACGCGGCACTTGGGCTCTGCTCCGAGCCCTAAAACCGCCCCGGGAGCCCCGTTGGAGCCCCAAAACTCGGCATCAGAGCTCTGCCCCGGCTCCCAAACGCGGCGCCGAGTCGCTGGTTCTGAGCTCGAAATGGGGCCGGGTGAGCCCAGGTTTGGGCTGTGCCAAGGGCAGGACTTGGAGCTGAGAAACAGGGACTCACCCTGCACAAACGAGCCCGGCTTGAGCACCGAAACACGGGATTTGGGCTGTACTTCAACCCCCCAAAATGCAGCACTCTGTCTCTGTGAAGCCCAATCGCTGGCTGGCTGACCCTGCTTTCATGATCCCAAAACACAGGACTGGGTCTCTTTGTGATCCCAAATACCACTCGAGTGCCCCTGGTTTGAAGCCCTGAAGCACAACGTAGTGTCTGTTTCTGAACTTGGCCAAAGTGAGCCCAGTTTTCAACACTCAGTCTCCATTTTTGAGCCCAAACACACAGGACAATGCAGGACTTGGTCTTTTTTTGTGAGCCCAGATGCTGCTCCTGCTCTCAAGGGCGCAGGACACAGGACTTAGTCACTGAGTGTTTCTGAGCCCCTAAAATGCAGCACTTGATCTGTCTTTGTGAGCCCAAAAATTGACCGAGCGAGTCCGGCTCTGAGCCCCCAAAAGGCAGCTCTGGGTCTCTCTTTGCGAGCCCAAGTGAGTCAGTCTGGTCCTGAGCCCCCCAAAACTGCCCCAGGTGGAATACGGGGACCGGCAGCCGCTCGCTTTTACCCCCCCGGGATAGATCAGAGACAAAAATACAGCTCGTGGGGTGAGATCAGAACAGTTTAATAACGGACACCGAGAAAAACAGAGTAATTTAATATTAATGATGATACAAAACACCAATGACAGCGGTGGCAGCAGCAGCAGCGATGAGAACACTGAGAACACCCGGTCCGGAAGAATCGCTCACCGAGACAGGACGGACGCCTCCTTGTATGGGCATGGCCACGCCCCACACACTCCTTTTTGGGGTATCGCCCCGCCCCGACACCCCTTATATGGGCATCGCCCCGCCCTAGACACTCCTTTTATGGGCATTACCCCGCCCCATATTATCTTTTAACGGTTATAGCACAGACCACACACCTTTTATGGGCATCGCTCCGCCCCACACTCCTTTTATGGCCGTAGCCCCGCCCCACACCTTTCTTTTATGGCCGTAGCCCCGCCCTGCACGCTCCTTTTTCGGGCATATCCCCACCCTTCGTTTACCTTTTATGGCCATGGGCACGCCCCGACACTCCTTGTACGGACAAGTCCCTGCCCCTCGGCTCCTTTCATGGCGGCGCCCACCGCCCGTTCACGCCCCCCTCCTTCCAGGCAGGATCGGGCACTCCCGGGTTTCATCGTGCAGAAAGCCCCGTTCTTTTTGGAACCTCTTGCTCCAGCCTTTTTCCCTGGGCGAAGAGGTGAATTAGTCTTTTGAAGGACCCGATGGCCAGAGGTGGGGGAAAAACTAGCAGCATTCCCTAAACACCTCCAGCACTTCCATATCCATCTGCGACCAGGGCCAACCTGGGCTAGGGGAAGGTGTCCCTGCTCAAGCAGTGGGGCTGCATGAGCTTTAAGGTCCCTTGCAACCCGAACCACTGCAGGATTCCATCACCATTCCACCATTTCTCCCTGCATTTGTTGTGCATCGCTTCCTCTCTGATTCAAATTCTCCAGTTTGGTCGGTCTCTTAAAGGAATAATTTTAAGGTTATTCCGGGAATAAAAAGGGGAGTGGAAAACACACACGAATCATTCCTGCACCCATCAAATCCTTATTCATTGGGAGCACGTGCCCTCATCTCTGTCCTTGTTTTTTTTTTTCTCCTGGGAAACCTTATGGTCATAGATTTTTCCAAGAGAGACCTGGGATTACCACGTTTGCTCTGTAAGAGGCAGGAGAGGTTCAGAATACCTGTTCCTCTGCATTTTGCCAGTGGGATTTTCCCACTTTCCAGAGATCATTTTTGTAGCTGCCCAAGGAAATTTCTGGAGCTGACCCACGACTGAGTACAGAGCGCAGCACAAAGGAACAACCAATCTCCCTCCAAAATATTTCCTGTCCTCTACAGACAGCCTCAAGACTTATGTCCAATATTTTCCCCACCTGTCCACTACTGATTCCCTCATTTTAACCCCAAAATGTTCATTCTGTCCCCTACATACTAACACAGATATGACCCCAGAGTGTCCATTCTGTCCCCTGCAGGGCCCTGGGGACACAGGGAGGTCCCTTTGATCTCAGGGCCTTGCTCCTGACCCTCTCCAGGGCAGAACAGCTGTAAATCCCAAATCAGAAAGTGGACATCTTTTAGCCAAAGGCACAGGAAAGGGAAGGCTTCAGAAAACATTTCTGCAACCTAACTGAGAGCGATTTCCAATTTCCCAGGGAGAAGAGCAGGAACTCACAGCCAACAATACCTGACAGTCCCCTGCAGCCACAGCTCAGCTCACAGACAGACTGGCAATTCCACCATCTAAAAGGAAACAAGACGAAGGAAATGGTGATTTATTTGGCTTTAAAGTTATTTTCAGTTCTTAAAACAGAAGCAACACTTGCTTTGGAATTGTGTTGGGTGAACAATTGGCAGTGGGCACAGGCCAGGCCATTAATGCTGATTTCAGTGATGCTCTCTGGGGCATCAAGGCTGGAGCCTCTTGCCTGTGGCTGCTCACACCCCAAAGATTTGGCAGAACTTCTCCCAGTTCAATGCTTTGTCCTGTCCTGAAAGAGAGCAGAGGGAAATTCAGTGCTCTGTGGAAGTCAAAGGCTCCTGGCTCTCACCCTGCTGTTCCCATGGCTCCCCAGAGGGTTCATCCCCAAACACGAGGGGTGGCAGTGCAATAGCCCAGCAGAGGCCCCCATTTCAGGGGCACCATTTCCCCCCCCGCAGGGGGTCCCACCCGCGGCGCCCCCTCCCCACCCCGGGCCGTGTCCCGCAGTGCCTGCCCCGCAGTCTCCTCCGCCTGGCGGACACGGCCGGTACTGCAGCCCCGACAGCGCCGCCGCCTGCAAAGAACCCCCCGCGCCACCCAGGGCAGCTCCACAGCCCCCCCTGCCCTCTCTGCCGCACAGCCCCCGCCCCGGGACGCTCCTGAAACAGCAGGGACAGGGCTCAGCCTCGCTGCAGCCACGGGACAAAGCAGCAACCCAAGGGAGACCCCAAAATGATCCCCTCCTCTCCACTGCTGACAACCTCAATTTATGTCCAAAGATGCAGTCTCTACCCACCACATTACCCGAAGTTAAACACCCCAAATTTTCCATACCATACCTTTTCCATACCACTGATCACCTCAATATTTTCATTCATTGCCTGGAGAGAATCATCTTCCTTTTTAAGCCCCAAAACCTGCCCTTCCAGCCACAGCTCATCACCTCTTTTTTCCCACATCTTCATTCTCTCTCCCAGACATCACCTCAGATTTAACCCCTAAAGTTTTCTCTTCCTATACACTTGTGATTAACTCATTTGTATCTCCAAATGTTCATTTTCTATCCTAGAGATTTTCTCAAGTTTTATCCCTAAAGCTTTCCTTACCTGCCCACTACTGACTGCCTCAGTTTACCTCTCACTGGTCATGTTCTACCTTACAAATAACATTCAGTTTTACCACCACATTTCTCCTTCTGATTTTAAACAGTTCTGATTTTAGCTTTGTTAACACAAAACTACATTCTCTTCCCAGTAAAACCCCTCAGCTCTTCCCTCAGAAACATCCCCTATTTATTCCCTGGAGATGAACTCACATTCTGCCCCAGGCTCTCCACTCCCCCCTCAGGGTGACCCCAGAGTGTCCACTCTGTCCCCTGCAGGGCCCTGGGGACACAGGGAGGTCCCTTTGATCTCAGGGCTTTTCTCCTGCCCCTCTCCAGGGGGGAAAAGCTGCAAACCCCAAGGCAGAAAGAGGAGATCTATCAGCCAAAGGCAGAGGAAAGGGTTCAGAAAACATTTCTGCAACCTAACTGAGAATGATTTCCAATTTCCCAGGGAGAAGAACACGAACTCACAGCCAATAATGACTGAGAGTGCCCTGCAGCCAGACCTCAGCTCATGGACAGACTGGTAATTCCACCATCTACAAGGAAACAAAAAGATGAAAATGTGATTTATTTTGTTTTAAAGATATTTTAAGTTGCTCAAAGCAAACCAACATTTGCTTGGACTTTTGTTGGGTGAACAATTGGCAGTGGGCACAGGCCAGGCCATCAATGCTGATTTCAGTGATGCTCTCTGGGGCAGGAGCAGCTGAGCTCCTGAGTTCAGTTCCTGCCCAAGGTCTGACCCCAAAATGATCCCCTCCTCTCCACTGCTGACAACCTCAATTTACCTCCAAAGACTCAGTCTCTACCCACCAGATCACCTGAAGTTAAACACCCTAAATTTTCCATACCTGTCCACCACTGATCACCTCAGTTTGCCTCAATATTTGCATTCACTGCCTGGAGAAAATGAACCTCCTTTTTAAGCCCCAAAACCTGCCCTTCCAGCCACAACTCATCTCTTCTTTTTTTCACACAAGATCTTCATTCTCTCCCCCACAGATCACCTCAGATTTAACCCCTAAAGTTTTCTCTTCCTGCACACCTCTGATTAACTCATTTTTACCTCCAAATCTTCATTTTCTATCCTAGAGATTTTCTCAAGTTTTACCCCCAAAGCTTTCCTTACCTGCCCACTGCTGATGGCCTCAGTTTACCTCTCACTGGTCATTCTCTCTCCTACAAATAACATTCAGTTTTACCACCACACTTTTCCTTCCTCTACATTTCTGATTTTAGCTTTGTTAACCCTTAACTGTGGACACAGGGGGGTCCCTTTGCCCTCAGGGCCTTTCTCCTGACATTCTCCAGGGGGGAAAAGCTGCAAATCCCAAGGTAGAGAGAGGAGATCTCTCAGCCAAAGGCACAGGAAAGGGAAAGGGTTCAGAAAATATTTCTGCAACCTAACTGAGAATGATTTCCACTCTCGCAGGGAGAAGAACAAGAACTCACAGCCAATAATGTCTGACAGTGCCCTGCAGCCAGAGCTCAGCTCACGGACAGACTGGTAATTCCACCATCTACAAGGAACAAAAGAAGAAGGAAACGTGATTTATTTTGCTTTAAAGTTATTTTAAGTTATTAAAACAGAAGCAACACTTGCTTTGGAATTTTGTTGGGTGAACAATTGGCAGTGGGCACAGGCCAGGCCATCAATGCTGATTTCAGTGATGCTCTCTGGGGCAGGAGCAGCTGAGCTCCTGAGTTCAGTTCCTGCCCAAGGACCGATCGGAGCTCCCCGTTCCCTGCCCGGCTCATCCCAACACTCCCAGCCCTCTCCCCTCAGCCCTCCCCCCGTTCCCTGCCCGGCTCATCCCAACACTCCCAGCCCTCTCCCCTCAGCCCTCCCCCCGTTCCCTGCCCGGCTCATCCCTCGGGGGGCGCCCCCGCAGTCTCCGCCTGGCGGACACGGCCGGTACTGCAGCCCCGGCACCGCCACATTCCCGGCCATCCCATGCAGTTTCCCTGCCCGCCACTGATCACCTCGCCGTGCCCGTTCCCTCCCTGGAGAGGCAGGGAAAAGTCCGGGGGTGAAATCTGAGCGGCCGCGCTGAGGTTTTTTTTTTTGGCCCAAGAGAAATTTTTTTTCAAAGCCGGGAGCGAGGCAAGTGCCGGGGCAGAAAACTCCACGGGGCTGGTGGGAAGGGCTCTGTCCCAGGCCGGGGGCACTGCTGAGGCTGGAACGATTTAAAAATATTTAAATTATTAAAATATTTAGATTTAAATTATTATTTAATATTTTAATTATCTCTGAGAGAGGGGAACTCGCAACAGCGAGTGCTGGCCCAGCCGACCAGGAGAATCCATTCTGGCTCTCTCTGGCCCTGTCAAACACTGTGGGCTGCTGCAGACCCTGCTCTCCCTCAGGATTCGCCTCCACGTGTGGCACCCACGGACCCTCGCGGGCAATCGGCGCAGGAGAAGCTCCGTGCCTGCCCCTCCCCGCGCGGCACCCCCCAGCTCCTCCCGGGGAGCCCCAGTGCCGCTCTCACCTGTGGGACCCGCAGAGTTCTGGTGGCAGAGGAGCTCCCAGGGCGAGTCTCTGTCGCAGCAGCGGCCGAGGGGCTCACACCGCGACGCCTCCATGTTGGGGGGGGGATGAACAGCCACTTCCGGGCTCGGACTCTGTGGTTCCGGCTCAGTCTCGATGGTCTTGGAGGACTCACCGGCTCCTTTATTTTTCTTCATTGCAGTCTCTCTTCAACCCCTTTTTATCCCCTTTAAAAAAAAAAATCGCTTTATTTCTTTTCTCTCTTTTTTTTTTTCTTTTCATTTCGTTGCATTTCTTTTCGGCGCGTTATTACCCTCTTTAATTTTATTTTTTAAAAATTTTTTTTGTTTTATTGTTTTTAATTTTATTTTCCGTGGTTTTATTTTTATTTTTTGTTTTATTTCATGTTCCGTGCTTCACTCCGGGGGATGGGGGGTATCCCTTGGAGACCGGGCGCGATTGACAGGCGATCCAGCCAATGGGACCGCGGCACTGCCGCTATGGGGGCGGGGCGATCCCCCACGGTGACCAATGGTAGCGCGGTGCGCGGATCAGGGCAGCCAATGGGGCGGCGTTGCGCGGCCAGTTTGAATCGCGGGAGCGGTTGGGTCGCGATGGCCGCGAGCGGGCGGTGAGCGGGACGGCGGCACCCGTGGGATCGGGATCCGCGGGGGATCGCGGGGGATCGCGGGGCTCGGCCCCCCCCGGGGCTCTGCCGCCATCCCAACACGACCTGCCCTTCTTCCCGCAGGAGCTACGAGGCTCAGATCCGGAATTACCGAGGGCCAGACCCGCTGGAGCCCTGGGACAGGTGAGCGCGGGGCCGGCCCGGGTGTCCGGATATTGACCCATCCCTGACTCCGGAGCTGCCCCCGATCAGGAATCGTCCCGGCTCAGGAATCGCCCCATCCCTGGCTCAGGAATCGCCCCATCCCCAGCTCAGGAATCGCCCCATCCCTGGCTCAGGAATCGCCCCATCCCTGGCTCAGGAATCGCCCCATCCCCGGCTCAGGAATCGCCCCATCCCCAGCTCAGGAATCGCCCCATCCCCGGCTCAGGAATCGCCCCATCCCTGACTCAGGAATCGCCCCATCCCCGGCTCAGGAATCGCCCCACCCCTGGCTCCGGAGCTGCCCCATCCCTGTCTCGGGTGGTTCCCTGGCTCGGTGCTGATCCCGGGACGTTTTCCAGGTACGCTCAGTGGGCAGAGGGATGTCTCCCGCTCCAGGAGAAGCAATCCCTGTGGCCCAGGCTCCTGGAGGACCTGGTGAAGATGTTCCTGGGCGACACGAGGTACCAGCAGGACCCGCGGTTCATCAAGTACTGCGTCAAGCTGGTGGGTAAAGCTACATTTTTGGGGGACTTAAACTGTCCTAAAGTATTTACAGAGCAGTTCTGGGGCTGCAAAGAGCCACGGGAGGAGAGGGAGCCTTTCGGGAAGGGCACGGAATTCAATTTCCCTGCAGAATGTGAATCTTGCTAAAGGGACAGCGTGGGATTTTTTTGCCTTGGATGTTTTTTTTTTTGTGAGTTCTTATGGCTTGTGCACCTCCTCCCGTGCAGGCAGAGTTCATCTCTTCCCCTGGCCAGTACTTTGAGTACCTGCACAGGCAGGGAGTCGGAGCAAAGTCCTCGGATTTCTACGTGGCTTGGGCTCAGCAGCTGGCGAGCGAAGGCAACGTGCAGGGAGCAGGGGCTGTGCTCCAGAAAGGGCTCCACAACCAGGCCCAGCCCCAGGAGAACCTGCAGCAGCTCCACTGGTAACTCCAGGACCTCTTTTCCTCCCTCATAATGCTCATTATTACTCCCAGTTAACTGGACGTGGCGCGTGGCTCGTTATTTTCTCTGCTGGAGCAGAGGCAGACTGATTGTTGTTTTTGCTAAATGTTAATGAAATGCTTCTCTGCTGTTCAATAGTTGTTGGGGGGTTTGGAAGGTTTGCTGAGAAAAACTGCCCCAGAGTGTCTTCAGTGAAACAGGGCCCAGAAAGCAAATCCCTGAGCTCAGAGTCCTGGAGCTTTTAAGCATTTAACTGGGAGGAGCTAAAGGCAAGAAACCGTGGAAAAAGTGATGTAAAATGCAAAGCAAACACCCTGTTTTATTCTCCTGCTGCCCTTTGCAGCCCTTTTAGTTTTGCAGCCCTGGAGGGAACAGGAGATGTCCACACACAGTAAAAATCCTGGGTTTCCCTGTTGCATTTCAGGGCATGATTGCACCAGGAGATCCAAGGTTTCCTGGGAGGTGGGAGGAGAGGGAGGCAGAGGATTTCCTGGTAATAACTGGCATTTTTTTGCAATTTAGCTGGTTGCAGAGTTCTGATCCTTGGAGTCATCCCTTGCAAGGTGAGGCTGAAAAAACACCTGTCTGAGTCGTAACTCCACTAAATGAATCTTTTACCTCAATCAGTGAGTTTTGCCATTGAAGAAAACAAGTTTTCTGCTTCATTTTTCCCCTGTTTTCCTGACCATATTAAAAATCTTAGGCAGACTGTATTCAAAACAAGTCACTAATTTTCCAGTGCTTCAAGTCAATAAAGATGCACCAATGAGCAAATGATTTCTGCTCATTAGTGAGTACAAATATTTATGTTATGCTTTCTGTCCCAGGTGCTGCTGTTGTAAAACCACTCCAGACTTCCAATGCTGTGAATCTAATGGCTCCTCAAAAAGAGGAGTCAAATGTTAACCCCTGCAAAAACCAGGTAAATTATGAAGAATTTGGCCACTGGGGGAGAGATGCTTCCTAAAAAGTTTGGATTGGTGAGCTTGACTGAAAAAGAAAGGTAAAATACAGGAGTGTGGTGTGGCTTAAAGCTGTCCCTGATGTTTTCCTGCTGCACCACATCTCCATATCTCCACATCTCCATCGTTATTCTTGGGAGGAATGATATCAGGGGATTCTGTGCCAGTTGTGCTGCTTGGATCTTATTTTCTCTTTTAGTTTGATGTTTTCTCCCCCCTGCTCTGCTTTAGGGTCCTGATGCTGCTGGTCCCCAGCCCTGTGCTGCTGGAAAAGAAGAAGTGTAAGTGTTTGGGTGGGTTTTTTAAAGCCCCACCGTGGGAAAATGAACCCGCTCCGAGGACAAATCCAGCAAACCTGACCCTTTCCTGCTTTTTCCTCCCAGGAGGTACATCACCTACATCTCCAAATCCGAGGTCCTTCCCAAGCCCCCTTCTGCTGGCGCTGCTGGGTGCGAGCAGGTCCCGATGTACGACAAGAACCTGCTGCTGTGCGAGGGCTCCGAGCTCTCCTTCGAGGAGCTGAGAGCCCAGAGATACTTCAGGAGATACGAGCGCCTCAGGAGGCAGCAGGAACTGGGTATCCCTCTTTTTCCCACCTATCCAAACAACTCCTTCCTCTTTCAGCTCATCCCCTGGGTCTGTCTTTTTGAGCCCAGGTTGCCCTGGGGGTGTTTCTCCTGAGGAAAGCAGTGGGCAATTAGCAGTGCTAATGATTGTGGGGCAGACCAAATATATCTAAATTTCAAGTGCAAGCAGCTTGTAATGATCACATGGAGAGACCCAGGGTTAATTGTTTCACTGAATATCGTTGTTTAATCTTCAGAGGAAGAGGAGAGAGACTCCCTGAGGAAAAAGGAGTCGGCTATGCTGGAACTCCAGGCCCTGCAGAAGAAGCTGGAAGAGCTCACCCAGCTCAGCAAAAGCCTGGAGGAAACCAGGCTGGAACCAGCAGCTGAAGCAATCCAGAGGGTGGTGAGTGTGTCCTGGGATGAGCATGGGATTTGTCCCACAAAATTTAACCGTGCTTTGGGAACCAGAGTGGATTGTTAACCAAATCTGGAAGTTCTGCCTGCAATACTAATACAGATGCCTCGAGCAACTTTGAATACTCAGATTTTAATGGTTACACCCCGAAGTTTGGGTTTGCATCTCTAGAATCTGGTCTTAGAAAGTTCTCTCAAGTGTGAAAAGCTGTTCTAGTCACGCAGAACTAAAGGGAAAATGGCAGTGGCTGTACTTGGAGGGTGCTTGGGTGTCCAGGGACACTTCTCTGATGGACTTTGTGGGATGTTTGAGTGTCCTTTCTCTTCCCTGAAGGTGCCCCCATGTGCCAGGCCCAGCACACCCCTGCCAGGGAACTGTATGGCAGCTGGTCCAGCCCCAGATGTGCCCAAGGGGCCAGAGCAGCCCCAGCCCAGTGTTTGCCCAGCCCCTGCTCCCACCCTACTGCCAGCAAAGCCCCTCGGCCACCGGCTCACATCGGGCTCCCTGTGGGAAGGGAGGGAGGAGAAGGACACAGCCAGAGCTCAGCCAGAGCTTGGGGAGCTCCAGAAGAGTTCGCTACACCCTCCCTTCAGTGCTGTCTCAGCTCAGGAACGGGCACAGCCCCACTCAGCTCTGCAACAGTGAGTATGAACAGGCCCCTTCAATTTGTGTCCACCAGCTGAGAATTAACTAAAAAGGAGTCTTCCTTCTTGAGAAAAAAGAAACAACACCAACCTGAAATTGCCTGTGGAAACTGGTATTTGTTAGGCATAGAGCAAACTTAGTCCTCATTGCAGTGTTTAATTCCTTCAACCCGCTGAGGTTTAGTTATGATGAGAGGAATTTCGGTGTGTAACTGCCTGGCTGTCCCTGGCACGCCTGGAATAAACACCAGGAACGCTTTGTTCGTGCAGGTCCCACTCAGAGGTCTCCAGAGAAGGCTAAAAAGTGTTGGTATTTTTCTCCTGCACTTTTGCTGTGGGCCTGGGCCAGTAGAGGACACAGAATTGGGGGGCAGAGGGAGAAAGCCAGGCTGGCAAAGGGAGGGTGGCTGAGTAGGCTTGGCCAAGATGGAAGCAGTTATTCACTCATATCATGGAATTCCTTGGAGGCAAACTGTGTCCAAAGCTTAATGCATTTTAACCTTTCTAAAGGACTCTGCTGCCTTCCAGGTTTTATATTTACTGGCGGCTGTAGGAGGGTCTTTCAGGGGTTGATATTTAATAGTATTCTAAAAGACTTCCCACTTCATTTAAATAGGGATTAAAATGGGATTTATTCCAAGCTAATGTGCTCACTCTTTCCTCTGAAGGCACCTCAACAAGAGATCCACTGGATTAACTCCTGCTGTGGATGTGAAGGAAGGTGAGCAGCCCAGTTTGGATGGACACTGATGCTGTTGGTGTGACTGTTCCTGGCTGGGGATCAATAATTGCATGTGGACACTGGTTCCAACCCTAGCAAAACATTTGGACTTCCCTGACTCCATCCCTGTGTGTCTGGGCAAGGTCTCTCTATCCCTTCCTTGGATCCAGCCCCTGTTCCCACCTTCGTGCAGTTCCTTTTCCAGTGCGGTCGGGAGATCCCTGTTTGTCCTTGCTGGGATAGATCAGATCATTCCTGTGAATTGCAGACGGATTCCTCAGAGGCCACCCAGCTATCCCAGGTCCCTCTTGTCCCTCAGGGCGGTTTCCCCTGGGAATCTGCTGTGCAGATACCTGAACAAGCCAAAAATCCCTCCCAAAACCCTGCGCCGTCATCCCGCTGCTCGCCTTGTTTACTTCTCCCCACTAACATTTTTCTCGCTGCTGGAATGTCCATAAACAACCACAGGCTCCTTCAGGAACGACCTCTCCGTTGTCTTTTCCAGCCTCCAGAGGTGGAAATTGTTCCTTTGCCTCTGGCAATGTTTCCCAGGCCACCCCGAACACCTCTCTGGGAGGAGGGACGCAGGCGACGCCCTTCAAGGTGCAGCCGTCGCCCACCGTGCACACCAAGGAAGCCTTGGGTAAGATCTGGAACAACATCCTGCTCCCTCTGGAGTCAGTGGGATCTGTCCTGGCAATTTGAGTGCTCCACTAGCCAAGGAAGTTCTGTAGGGATGGGCAAGTGCACCATTCAGTCAGTGAGGAAAATATTGAATCATTAACCCTCGGTGGGGATTTGGATGACCCAGAACTTTGGGCCAGAAGTAGATGCTTTAACAGCATCCCAGCGGCCACATCCCATAAATTCCCGGATAAGTCACTGCCAGGCTGCTTTGGGAGCGTGTTCTCTGAGCTCCTCTTGTCACTGATGTCAGGGACTCCTGTTTGCAGGCAGCAGACTAATCTGGAAGTTGTCAGCTCTGGTTGATGTGGAGCTGAATAAATCTCTCTGGAAAGAAAAATAAACCCCCAAAACTTGTGGCATTCATTAGTTTTCCAAATACCTAGGAAATTAAAGGAGAATCTGCCCCCTTGGGAGACCTTGGAAGGTGTGTGGTGGCCAAACTGGACCTTCCTGTGTCTGTTCAGTTGTCCAGGGGATTTCAGTGTATCAGGGAGGAATAATTGTTACTGGCATTTGATAAATGATGAGACTGTTATAATTAATTACCTTTTAAGACTGTTATAATTAATTGGCATTTGATTTGAATACCACACAATGGATGAGGCTCTGAAAATTTCCTTTTTCTGGGAGTGTTATTCCTGTGGGGTGGGTTTTTTATTTACTTTTTAAAATTTATTGATTTATTTTTCCTTATTTTCCCCTCATTTTCCCTTCCATTTTGCTTCATCTGTTAGGCTTTCTCATGGACATGTTTCAAACACCCATCTTGCCTGAACCCCTGGAAAACAGCACCGAAGAACTGGAAGCCTTTTTCAGGAAAAATGGTGTGTGCTGTTTCTTTTCCCAATCCATGATGTTCCATCTTTTATTTCCCGTTTTCCACCTCCCATGGGGTCCTTGTTGTAAGAGTTAGGCCAGGTTGAAACCCAAAGTTTTACAAGGGTGAGCACAGAGAGATTTCCCAACTGGCTTTGGGCTGGAAAAATCTGATTCCCAAGCATTTATGGGAAAGGGGATTTTGAGCAGGAATTCTGCAGGTGGAGGGACCTGGGTAGGGGGGGAAACGGGGCTGTTTAAATAATCTTTATTGGGTGAAGATAACATTGCTTATCTCTTATTTTTCAGAACCTGATGGCTGTTTGAAAACTAACATTGTTGTCCCTGTCACTCCTGCGTTTTCCATCTTTCAGGATGACAGTGAAAAGGAGAACAGCAGGTAAGGAGGGGGAAAAGGAACAGCTGAGCTCAGCTCGTGAAAAATTCCAGGCGGGATTGATTCCATTCCAGAGCACTTTGCCATGGCTGAGTCAGGAGTGGCTTAGGTACAGCTGGTAGGGGCTGTGTGGAGAGTGACATGAGAAAAGCTGTAGTTGCTACCCTGGAATTGCCCAACTTCCCTGTTTGGACAGTTTCATTTTCTGGGGAATTTGTTTCTTGGAGCTGCTGCAGCTTCTCTAGGTACCTGCAAATGGGACTCTTAAAAAAGAAATATAAAAAATTGAAGTGAAACCAAGCAGGTGTGCTTTGGTCAGGGTGCCTGGGAAAGCTCCTGGGCAGAGGAGTTCTAAAATCCCTGTTTTTCAGGATCCCACAGCACAAGAACAAGGCAGAGGAGCCCAAAAGTCTTGGACAACGTCCCTTGACCGACTGTGCAGCAGAAGTGAGTGGTGATCCTGCAAGGATGAGCTGTGGAAGTGGGTTATGCAGTTGTGGGGCCATCAGATTTACCTCTGTCCTCTCCCAGCCCCACAATGTTCTTGGGAGCGATGCCCTTTCCCGTTCCCTGCCAACAGGATGAGCTTTTTTTGATTGTTAATTCTCATAAAACTTCTGGGAGCTTGATAGTGGAGGCCTCCCTCCCTGGAATGAATCCAGCTGCAGTTCCTGCGTGGATCCAGCATCAGTTTGGAGGCAGGAAGAGACGTTTCATCTTCCAGCCTCGCAGATTCCACAGCCCAGGAGACGCACAAACCCCCAGTCTGCCTGGATATAAGTGATCCCTGTATGGCTCTTCCAGGCTCTTGTGGCAATTTTTTGTCTTCTGCTGCAGATTATTGCCAACACTCAGGTCTGGTCCAAAACTATGGAAATCTATGGGATGTAGGTTATTGTTGCCATTCCCATGTTTTCCTAATAGTCCTTTATTTTTCTGACATCACAAGCTGACTCACCATTATTGCCAGAGGCTGCTGGAGTTTACAGTGCAGATGATTTGCTGGTTTGATTTTAGATCTTTATCTCTTTTCTCCTGTGTAGGAAGAAGTGGGGACCACGGAATTCCTGAGGGATGATTACACAGTGTGGAATGTCCAGTGCAGCAACAAAACCTTGGCTGCCAGTCCAAACAACACCAGAGACTTTGCACGAGCTGCCCAGCTCGTCTCAACACCCTTTAGTTACCTGGCAGCCTGTTCCCTACAGCCTGTGGAGGGCAGAGGTAAAATAAGGAATATTTTGGGATGAGGGAGTTGAACTTGGTGCTTCATGACTCCAGTTTTGGCCAAATCCCACCCAGGGGTGGCTCCCACTGCTGCCACTCCTGAGCCCACGTTCCCTGTGGGGAAAACCAGCTGGGGGCTGGCCCAGCACATCAGCTCTCCAAGGATTTCTAATTGGAGGGAAAAGAGATTTAAGGGATAAGACAATGGGTATGTCCAACCATTCCAAGGGGTCGTGAAGATCCAAACACTGCCTGAATCCCAGCACCACCTCTATGCTGCTCTGCCCCTCTTTAGTCTTGGAATACACTCCCTGGAGAAATCCAGCCCCAATCTTTACTCACATATTGGGAACTGTGGGTGGGAATTCCCTAAATGTTCCTGGGTTTGGGGGAAACAAGCACTGATTTGCTCTTGTTGCTGCTCCCTGTGCTCAGCCTGCGGGGATGACCTGCTACAAATGGACCTGGAGTTTCCTGGAGAAGGGCACAAACAGACAAAACCCCAAAAATTAAGGTATGTCGTGACCTGCTGGGATTTCAGGTCATCCAGGGCAGAGCTGGGCTGCTCTGCTGCTCCCAGTGCAAGTTTTCCAAGGAATCTGGTGCATCTGCATGAGCCTGGCTCTGCTTAGGGCACTTCTCAGCACTCTGGGGATAAATGAACCTGGGTTGGGTGAAAATGCCCCAAAAATGCTTCCAGGATTTAAGTTTTGCCACGTTTAAATTAAAAATTACCTTATCAAAAAATCCACTGCTTTCTTCCCTGCTGGCTGATGAACTTGAAGGTTGTTAGGTATTGGGGAATGGGACTCACCCAAATCTTGTTTTCTTAGGAAAATTCCATTTTATTCATCTCAGTGTTGGCCAAGGTTGGAAGTGTGGGCATTTGGCAGGTTTTTGCTTCCTGAAGGTGCCAAGCCCCCACGGCAGCAGGGTCAGTTAATGATATTTTGGTTTCAATCCCTAGCCCTGCTCTCGAACATGCCACGGGACAGAGGGAGCTTCAAGGAAACCTCCTGAAACACGGGAATGGGATTCAGGGAATTGTGGCAACCGCTTCCCAACGGTTCCAGGAGCAGAGCGCCACGAGCAGAGCTGAACCTTCCTGTGCTGGGCTGGACAGAATTTCCCAGGAGAAGCTGCGTGGAGGGGGCGCAGCCCGGAGCGTGAGAGCTGCAGGCACAGAGCATTCCCTGTTTTTTTACTCTGTGTTCCAAGGTTGGAGCAGGGGGCCCTGCAGTGAGCAATCCCGAGGCTCCTCGGAGGATGTCGCTGCTCACCTGCGAGGGATGTGAGGAGGGACAGCTGGGGGTTGTAGCTGTGTTGGACGATGCCCAAGATATTCCAAAGTGCAGGAATACTTGGAAGTACTTACAGGTGCTGTGCTCATCGAGGCCCAAATGCTTTGGGAAAATCCAGCTTCTTTAACAGGTGTAAATAACCTGGAATGTCCAAATCGAGGGATATTTAACTTTTAGCCTTCTTGGGGTTTATGTTTTATGATATTTCCTTTGAATCAGTGATGCTCATTCAAGTGTAACCTTGTGTGACCTCTTTGAAATGACATTTATGGCTTAAATACTTCTCTTTTTCTTCCATGAAGTCCTTGTGGAGAACCCTTGGGATAAGGAATTGATTGCCAGGTTCTTGTCGGAGCTTCCCAAACCTCTCCACACCTACACCAACTACTTTGAGTGGAAATTTGCTCTTCCACTGATCGTGCTGAAGGCTGAGCTCCCACTGGGTAAGAGCTCCTTCAGACATCCCGTTTTCAAGCATTTCTCAGTGTTTTCCTGGGAAAACTTCTCAGAGGTGTTTTGGAATTCAGCTTCCTTGTGGGTATATCCAGACACCTTCCAGATTATCCTATGACCTCACCTTTGGGGTTAGACCAGGGGTTGGTTTGTTTCTTGTAGCAGAAGCCTTTTGGAGGAGGGACTCTGAGGGATCGTTTTCCTAGTTTTCCTCATAATCTGGGACACAACTAGCACAGAACAGCAGCGGTCCCGTGTCAACAAAAGCTGTAGGGACGGCGATTGCAACACCCCTGTGGGACTCAAACATTAGTGTTTACTTTTGAGGACACGGCCTTTGGAATTTGATCGCTTCCAGGGGGTCAGACCGAAATAGAAACACTGTTTTTTTAGCGTGTGGCACTCCTGGTTTCAAGAGTGAGTCCAGGCTTTCTCCTGTGGAAGGGATGACTTGTAGGGAAAAAAAAAACAGCTCTGGGCTTAAATAATTCGTATAGGCTGGTGCTCTCCTTCTTTTTCCCTGAGTAGTGGTTCTCCTCCTGGAGTTTGCAAGCAGGAGCTGATGTTGTTCATCTCTTTAAGGTTCCAGCTCATTCCATGTGGATTGCTTGGTCGGAGAGGGAGCTTTTGCCCAAGTCTATCAAGCTTCCCTCCTGGATGCCAGTAACCCTCGGAACAATCAGAAAGTCATGTTCAAGGTCAGTGGGATTAGGCCAGGAATGCTCTCCTGGAATAATTCTGGAGTCTTACAGTAGTGACACCTCCCCCCGGCCTTTCCACTTCAGATCTGTCCTTGGGACCCTTTTGTGGATCTTCTCATCAACATTTAGGCTTTCAGGAAAAAACTTTCTTTGTGTTAACACCTTATATGAGACCTTTTTGGGATAAAAGGTGATTCATGTTTTCTTTTGAGCATCAGGGATACACCAAAGTGTTTAGCCAGGATGGAAGTGTGGGATGGAATTGGATTCCAGATTTGAGGGGATTAATCACTGAGTTACTGACCTGAGGTTCATTTCTGTGAGGGGGGGTGAGGCCTTGGCACAGTTTTCTCAGAGCAGCTATGGCTGCCCCATCCCTGGAAGTGCCCAAAGCCAGGTTGGATGGGGCTTGGAGCAACCTGGGCTAGTGGAAGGTGTCCCTGCCTATGGCAGGTTGGAGTAGGATCATCTTCAAGGTCCCTTCCAACCTAAACCAATCTGGGATTCCATGATTATATGATATGTCTTTATTTGAGAAGGGAAGATGCCAGATCTCTCACTAAAAACCTAGCCTGGAACTTCTATTTTTACTGCTTTTACAGATTTTCCCAGTAAATCCACTTCTTGCTTCCAGGTCCAGAAACCTGCCAACCCATGGGAGTTCTACATCACAAACCAGCTGGTGGAAAGGCTCGACCCCAGCCTGCACCACCTCTACGCCCACTTTTACTCTGGTCATTTCTTCCAAAATGGGAGCATTTTGGTGGGTGAACTCCACAACTACGGAACGTTGCTGGTAAGTGGCATCAGCTTCTGCTCTGGAGCATCTCTGTCCATCACCTCAGACCTTTCATCCACACCAAGTTGCCCCCATGTGCATCCTTTGGGTTTTCCAGAACGCCATAAACCTTTACAAGAAGGTCCCCGAGAAGGTGATGCCTCAAGCCCTCGTGATCTACTTTGCCGTGAAAATCCTTCATATGGTGGAGGAGCTGCACAGCTGCCACATTGTTCACGGGGACATCAAACCCGACAACTTCATCCTGGGAGAAAGGCGAGTGTTCCCCACCCACGGGAGATGCCGTGCCGTGGTACCGGAGCCCTGGCTCACCCGCCGGGCTCTCGTCGTGCTCGTTGTAGGTTCCTGGACAACGACACCTGCGACATAGATGGTCTCTCTCACGGCTTGACCCTCATTGACTTCGGCCAGAGCATTGACATGACGCTCTTCCCCGAGAGAACGGCGTTCACCGCCCGGTGTGAAACCTCTGGGTTCCAGTGCATCGAGATGCTGACACAGAAACCGTGGAACTACCAGGTAAGGGATTCCCTGGAGCCTCCTGCCGAGATGAGTCCGGGACTATTAGACTTCACTGCCAGAGTTGTACCTTCAAACACACTCCCGGGCTCTCCTTTGGCAGAGCTTGTCCCCACAGGGGGTTTTGAGCTCTTTTTTAGTGGTCTGGGTATATTTTTAACATGAAGCTGGCGTGTTCTTTGTGTAGACAGACTACTTTGGCATTGCAGCCACGGTTTACTGCATGATCTTCGGGATCTACATGCGAGTGAAGAATGAAAACGGGGTCTGGAAGCCTGAGGGAACCTTCAAGAGGTCAGTGCCAAAAACCCTTCCCAAACCTTTGCCTAGAAAGACCCATGGTTTATCCCGGCCTGGTTTGTTGATTCCATCTCAGCTCTGACTGGGGAGGTAAATTCATATTTTAGCAGCTTGGATTTAGCTTTTTTTTTGGTGTTCTTTTTGCAGGCTTGCCAACGCTGAGCTGTGGAAGGAGTTCTTTGAGACCCTGCTGAACATCCCCAGCTGCCACAGCCTGCCCTCGCTCAGAGCCCTGCGCCAGAAGATGGAGGACTTATTTTGCAAGTCCTACAAAAAGGAAATAAAGTTCCTTCGGAACAGACTCGTTGTGTTGCTCATCGAAAACAAGCGCTCACGAAAATAAGTGTTTTCTTTTGCACAGTTATCAAGGGCTCGGTGTTTTATGGCCGTGAGATGTTTCTGTGATGACTTGATTTTAAATAAATGGTTTTGGGGTTGACTTCAGCAATGATGACTTGCATCTCTCTGTGCTTTTAGAGGACAAAATGCACTAAAATGGGTTGCTGAGCTTGCCCAGATTTGGGAGGCTGTGGGTTGAGGCTCCTCCTGCTCTGCCCGTTCTCAGGATGGAAGAAATGGAGGTTTGCAGGTCAGATTTAGGTTGGACAGGACTGAACTCACCCTGGACATCTTCACTTCTGACCTCCCACAATGTCATTATTAGGATTTGGGGGAAAAACCAAGAGGAAAGGGCTCTTTTTTTGCCTTTGCCGTGGCAGAATATTGGGAAAACATACCAGGAGTGTGCCAGGAAATCATTCCTTTAAAAGGAATATTTTATTAGCACAACGCTGCGGGGAGGAGAGGGCATTAATTTCATTTATGCATCTCCCCACAGGAGGGAGACAACGGCCTTTCCTGAATCTCCCTCCCTCTGCCTCTATTTTAGGGGTATCTTTCATCTGCTCGAGTTGTTCAACTGGAAAACCAAGGTGAGCTAAGCCCAGCCCAGCTGGGACAGCCTGGGCTAGTGAGGAGGAGCAGGGATTCTGGGATCCAGCACGGAGGGATGTGTTGCTTCTCACAGGGTTTGCTGTTCTCCTGCAGCTGGGGCTCCTCTCTCTGCCTTTATGGCCAAACCTCTCGGATTCCCCTTGGAAGCAGCCTGCTCTCCCTCTTGTTCGGCTTTCTGCGGCATATGGAAAAGCCTTCGGCTTTGATCCGAAGCAGCTGGTTCCTGACTCAGCTGGAGCAAGTTGCGCAGGGAGGCGGATCAGCTGGAGAGACCTCGGAGTTGCTGGAAACATAAACATTCAGTGCTGGGGTGGCTTTTTTGTTCCCTTTCTTCCCCAGTTTAACTTTTTTATGAGCTGAGCCAGAGCCAGCTGTTCTCTGGCCAGGCCAAAATCTCTGCCGGGCTCAAGTTTTTAGATCTATACTGTAAATTCTGTATTTTTAGTTCCTCGTAAGGCAGAGGCTGCTCCGAAAAGTGCGGAGCCTTACGAGCACAATGGAGCTTTTACCCACTTCTTTTCCCCTCATAAATGCTGCCATTTTCCATTAAATACCCTTAAAATGAACCCACTGCACCAGCCACCTGTTTCTGGGCACACCTTCCCCCCGCCCCTCCATGAACAACTTTGACCTTGGACACATCCCATGGGAAGCAGGAAGGATGAAGGGTAAAAACCACCTCATGAGGGCTCACGCAAAATGAAAACAGATCCACGGAGCGATGCGCTGGGGGGGGGTGGGGATGGAGGCTCCTGTTTTCTGACTGATTTAAACCCAAGCTACTACAAAACCAGCAGCAGAAGGCAAAGGGCCAGCTGGCCCCGGTGGTATTTCCTCCCTGGCACGTGCCGGATCCACGCCGGTGAAGATCTCGAGGTATCCCCAGAGTCGCCCTTTAGAGATAACTCATCTTGGGGCCTCCACCTCCCACACGGAGAGGAGAGATTTCCTGGTGCGTGGGTGGCTCTGCTTTTTCTTCTGCAGAAAACCCAAGTTTGCTCATTTTTCACCCTTTGCCACTGAACCAGGGCCCCCACTGGGGTCTGGGGCTCCCTCCCAGCTGTTCCATCCCTTGCTGCTGGGTGACCCATCACCGGTTAGCCCTGGCCAAGCCCTTTCTGCTGGCAGCATCTCCCCTCAGTTCCCAAACAAATTTCCAAATTATGGCTTTTAATGCATATTAAGAAAAAAAAAAAAGTGTGAGGTTGTTAAAGCTGCAGGTACCTCACTAATTAGTCAGACTCACGTTAATGAAGCAGCGGTCCTGGTTCCCATCCAGGTGAGGCTTTAAAGCCACCCAAGGCGATGTCACTCATTCCAACAGGAACAACAAATAACTTCAAATACCTGTTAACAGGTACATCAAATTCAACTGGGGCAGCAGTGAATCCAAGTTACACCGTTCCAGGGGCCACTTGGGTCATGACAGGACCATTCCTCAGTCCCTTGGTCTGTCACCACATTATCTTGCAGGTGGATGGAAGCAGTGACACCCTGCACAGAGGGTTTAGGTGCTTCTTTAACAAAAATATCCATCTATTTAACAAAGCCCATGTATTTTTATCTGTAGCCAACCTTTGCTGTTTACAGTAGTCCCTGGGGATACAGAACACCCTGATGGGGGAGCAAAGGCTTGATTCTGGGTCTTTTTATTTTTTAAACTCAGCTCCTCACTGTTCACCTGGGATGGGGAAACCGAGGTTTGCTCCCTGCCTGACACAGGGGATCTCGAGCCACAGTGCAGGGAAAGCAATGCCTGGTAACTCCCTCTAAATGGGAGAGGGGCTGGGGGGGGCAGGTTTGGGTTTTTTGATGCTGGTGATGTCACCCACAGGTGCCTGAGCCCGGTGGCAGCTCGGTGCACGTCCCACGGCTGCTGTCCCCACATCTGTGCCCAGCTCTGTACCACACGTGCTGTCCCGCTCCGCTGAGCATCCCTGAGTCCCCTGCTCTCCCTCCTGTCCCCGCTCAGGAAAACCTCCTCCTCTCCCTCCTCTCCCTTCTCCCCTGGCTCCAGGACCACCTCGGGGGAGCCCCCGGGGCCGTGGCAGCTCCCTCCTTCCCGTGGCTGTGAGCCAGGGTGACGGCACCGCGCCGTGGTAAAGGTCAGGCTCCAAGCCCGGCTCAGATAAAGCCTCGTGTTTGAGGTGTGTGGCTTAAACCTGATTTTATCTGCCAGCGCCGAGTGAAATACCACTTGTCACGATGGTTGGAGGAGAAGGAGGAGAACAAGGCGCCGGTTTTTTTCCGTTTGCTCTGTTGTTCAGTTCAAAATGGGTTTGGTGAGCAGCTGCTGGGTGAGGGGGGGGGATTGTTAGGGGGGGTTTTTCCTGTGATACTGTGGCTTTTCATGCCAGACACACTCTCCTTTCCTCCATCCTCCTCCCTGCCTGCTTCCCGATGGCAGGGACAGCCTGCTGGGATTGGGCTGGACACGATGATGTTGGAAGTCTTTTCCAACCTAAGTGATTCCGTGACAGCACAGAGAGAGGGCTGAGAGATGCCATGGTGAGAACCAGGAAGCTGCAGCAACATGGGATCCCCACCACTCCCATTCTCCATCCCTCTCCACCTCCCCTCTCCTTTCTCCCTTCTCATTTCCATGTGGGAGACAGGACAGCCACCTGCAACAGAGATGCTGGTGGATGCAAGGGAGCTTTGCTAAAGGCCACCAGCAGCTGTCGGTGCTGCAGGAGGAGGGCTGGGATGTGGCATCTCCAAAAGAACATCCCCAAGGAGCTGGGTAGCGGATGCTGCAGAGCCCCAGGCAGCGGTGAGGGGCAGGTTTCAAGGCCCCTTCTTTCCCCCCATGCCCGTAGCTGGGCACAGTGCCAGGCTGCTGAAAATCCATGACCTTTGGGATGTGGCTTCGGTGCAAATACCTCCGAGATGGCTCACAACAACAGGAACGAGGACACCGTCGAAACGGATTTGTTCCAGGAGGCTGGTGCTGTGATTCACGGGGGGAAAATGCACTCAGAGGAAGAGGGGGGGATACCGGTGGCTCTCCAAAAACCCAAGGGCAGGATGAGCCCAGCGAGAAGGGCTGGCTCAGTTTGGGGGTTGAGAAGGACGGGCTGTTCCCCATCACCTTCTGCTCGCATGAGCCGCCCACACAGAAACTAAACCGAGCCAGGAGGAGAAAATATACGCAGCATCTGCCGGCTGGCCCCACGTCCCGACAGCCCCAGTGCCTCCGGAGAGACCCCCTCACTCTGCCTTCAGTGGCTCCTGGATCCAAGGGAAGTGGAGGGAAGCAGGGATCCCTCACAGAGCCCCGCCAGCTCCGTGCTATGGGCACCGCTGCCAGAGGACTGGCAAAGGAGGCACAAGCCTGATTTCCAGCCCTGCTTCTCCCTCACTTTCACGCTGTGGAAAGGTGACAGTGCCGCCAAACTGGCTGGAGGGGCCCTTGAATCTTTCCCTTCTGCTGCCCGTCCCTGCCTTCAAATTTTTACTTAATGAGTTTTCCTAATGGGTTTCCCAAGTTATTTTTGCCCCCTCAAACACCTGCACACCCTTTTCCTTTCCATCCCATTGGAGCAGTGTGAAGGTGGTGGGAACAGAGCCAGGGTGGCGGTCAGGGATGCTCCAGCAGTGTGTAGGACCATCCTGGACTCTCACGGATGTGTTGGGGGAATCCTGGGTGGGATGGGGGGCCCTAGCATCTGCTCCATCAGCAGCGCTCAGCCCCTGCAGAGGCTGTGCTGGGCTCTTCCTCTCCATGGTCCTTCCTCCTCTCCACGGTCCTTCCTCTCCATGGAGTCCTTTCTCTCCGTGGTGTGCATGGGGTGTGCAAGCTGTGCATGTGCAGAGCAAGTGTGTATGCAAGGGGTGAGCCTGTGGTACGTGAGGGGAGTGCATGTGTGTGTGTGTGTGTGTGTGAGGTGTGCGTGTACAAAGCTGTGAGTGCACACGTGTGTGTGTGTACAAGGCTGTGAGAGCACGTGTGTGTGTAAAGCTGATAGTGCGTGTGTGTGTAAGGCTGTGAGCACACACGTGTGTGTAAGGCTGTGGGCGCACACAAGTGTGTGTACCGGGGTGTGAGTGCCCAGGGCAGTGTGCTCACCCCCGTGTGCCGTGTCCTGGCAGCGCGGCGGGTGCCGGGCGGTCCCCGCGGGCGGTGCCGGCGCTGCGGGGCGGTCCCGGGGCGGTGCCGGGGCCGCAGCCGGGGCGGTGCCGGGCCCGTGTCGGGGCGGTGCTGTGGCCGGGGCGGTGCCGGGGCCGGGGGAGGCCGGGGCGGTGCTGGGGCTGTAAACACGGGGCGGAGCGGGGCCGTGGCCGGGGCAGGATTCGTTCCCGCGCACACCCGAGCGCAGCGGCGGCCGGGGCCGCTCCAGCGGCGGCAGCACCGTGAGCGGGGCCGGGGGCGCGGGGCGGGGCGGGGCGGCCGGGCCGGGGCAGGACGGGGCCGGGCCGGGCTGGGCGCTCGGCAGAACAATGGGGCGGGCGGGCGGGGCCGGGCCGGCCCCGCTGACCGCGCTTCCCCGCGCTCCGCTCCCCGCAGGCAGCCCCGATGGCCAAGCAGCCCCCCGAGGTGAAGGCGCGACGCGACGGCGAGGGCGGGCGGCTGCCGGCGGCCGAGGGGCCGGGCCCGGGCGCGCAGCTGCGCCCCGGCGCTCCCGCCGCCCTGCCCGGGGCCGGCAGCGGGAACGGGAACGGCTCCGGCGCGGCGCGGGGCCCGCCCGCCAGCCCCGGCCCCTTCGCCACCCGCTCGCCGCTCTTCATCTTCGTGCGGAGGTCGCCGCTGCTGCCGCGCTCCTCCAGCGGGTACTTCTCCTTCGACGCCGAGCGCAGCCCCGGGCCCCTGTGCTGCGACAAGGCCACGCAGACCCCCAGCCCGCCCTGCCAGGCGCTCAGCCACTGCCTCAGCGCCATGGGTAAGGGCTGCGGCCGGGCTCCGCATCCTCTGCCTCCCTCCGCACCTGGCCGCGCTTTCCTTCCCTTCCCCTCCTCACCTGGCCGGGCTTCTCTTCCCTCAGAATGATGGAAGAGGCGGGTTCTCATGGGTGCGTGCAAAGGTGCGAGTGCACGGTGCAAGGAGAAATGTGAATACTCTGTGCAAGGGGGGTTGTAAGCCCCTGAGAGGTCCTGCTCCTCACCTGGCTTGGCTTCCCTCACCTCTTGCTCCTCACCTGGCTTGGTTTTCCTTGGAATGATGGAAATACGCAGGTTCCTGTAGGGGTGTGCAGGGACGTGGATGCACAGTGCCGGGGGGTTGTGTACAGGTGTGAGCGCAGGAGGGGTGTGCAAGGTGTGAGTACGCAGTGCCAGGGGGGTCGTAAGTGCACGATGGAAGCTGCGGGTCCTCCTGGTTGTGTGACACACCTGCAGCTGCACCTCCCGCATCCCACCCTCTGGATTTTGGGAGCGTGGCTGTCCCGAGCTGGCCGTGGGCTGGACGCTGGCCTGGCACTCTGGGATTTTTGGGAGCTGGCCGGGCCCGCCAAGCAAACACTGCGCCGGGGAACTCCCGCGTGTCCAGCGCCGGGGTTTTGATTACTATGATGTTTATTCTTTTCCGGGCTGGGTCAGTCCCTGCCAGGGGAGGAGGGGACAGAGTCAAGTCCAGCTTCCTACTCCGGGCTTGCTCTTCCAAGGCTGTTTGGCCAAGCAAGTGGCTTCTGGCTCGTGCGTCGCTCCCGGTTCTCTCCCGGCTCTCAGCGTTGGAGGTGATGGGGTCATGGAACCCCAAATCCCGCTGGGAAGCGGCGTGGAGGCGAGCGGGGTTGTGTTTACATGTGGCTTTGCCAGGTAAAGCCTCTCGGGCGGGGAAAACCTGCCCACATGTCCAGCATTCTCCTCTCCTGATTAATTCCCCTTAGCTGGGAGAAACCTTTTAACTTCCACCGGGTGAAACCAGGGCAAGGCAGGGGGACAACAAACACCAACTCCCAGCTTTCCGGGATCAAAACACCGTCTTTTTTTGTCGGCGGTGTTTTTGCTCCCTCCCGGCTCCGAGCTGTGGTTACGGCTGCGGAGGCCTTGCTGGAACGTGCCCTAAGGAAAGATTTTGGGACATTATTGCAGTAATTACAGCTTAATGCAGTTTCACAACCTCACGCTGGCACGGCCGGGCGAGGATGCTCCTGGAGTTCCTCACAGGAAGAGGCTTCAGGTTCGTTTTCCCGGGAAGAAACTGATGTTTTCCCTGATTTTATTTTTTTCCCCCAAGTTCCTGCATTCTCATCAGCTGTTTTAGTGGAGCCTGCGCTCTGTTAGTGTTGCCAAGGGCATCATCCTAAACAACTATAAGCAAATGGAAAATTCTTGGCCCTGCTTAACCGGGACCCGTGGATATTCCCAAATGCGATTAAACTGGGAACGTGTAGGTGTGGAGCTGTTTTGTCCCTATCTGGGACCACAGCTCCCAGGCTGGGACTTCCCCCACAGCTCTCCTGGAGAAATATCCCTGGCTTTGCCCTGCACACCTCTCCCTCAGTCCCTTTGCCCTGGCAGTGTCCCGCCGGATGCGTGCCGTTAAGTTTTCCGCATGGAAGTGGGTCAGTCCCTCGGGAAGGAAGCGAAGGGTATATTTTTGTTGTGCTTTTATGCACTGATTTTATCTGTGGTGAGCAGAGGCTGCGAGGTGGAGAGCTTCTCTCAGAAGCACAAGCAAGTGGCCTTTAATAATAATAATAATAATAACAATAATAATAATAATAATAAACAGGCACTTCCTGTGAGGAGGAGCGACGGATGCTCCCAGCCTCTCCCGTGGGCAGCAGGGAATTGCTCCAAGGCTGCTCCAGCATGGCAAGCTCGTGCTGTGCCCCAAAACTCCCTCTTCTAAATCATGTAAAAACCTTCCCCAAAGTTTTCGGTGAGGGCACAAAAAAGTTGGAGGGAGCCCTTGGGAATGCTGGGATGCCTTGTGTTGGGAGGTGGTGGATGCCTTCAAAACCATCTTTTTTTTTTTTTTGTTTTGGAAATGAGGCAGCAAGGGGAGGTTCTGGGATGGGAGGGAGGAAGGGTTGTGTTCTTGGCTTGGCACATCCAGGAAGATGCTTTTGGGGATGGGTAGGAGAGGAGCAGGGGTGAGTTGATTTGGTTGGGCTGGGGGAGGTACAGGGGAAAAGGATGATCCTGCTTTTTGGGGACGAGGCTGGGAGGGTTGGGGGGTGCCCTGCTGGGAGCATAAATCACCCAAGATGAGAAACTCACCTTTTGGGGGGATTGGGAGACTCTTTGCCTGATGTTTTGCGTCCTGGGCTTTTGGTGGGAGAGGATCATGTCCTTCAGTTGGGTTTTCCATCTGTGTGGGTTTTGGGAATGTGTTTGGAGTGAGTGCTCTGTAAACAGGCTTACCCAGTGCTGCTCTGCTCCCGGTGTATTTTCCCACGGGGAGAGAAGCGTCACCAACCTCTTGTTGCCCACTAAGGAGACCCTCCCCGTGGAAATGGGTGGGTTTAAGGGGAAAACCTTGAGCTCTGGTGGAGCTGCTGCCATTTCCTTTCAGGGAGGTTTTCTCCAGGGGGGTTGGATAACTAAGCCCAGGGTTGAAGATGCAGCTTGGGGTTGGTTTTTTTCGCCCTCCTAAGCCGGGACTGCGGTGCTGCCGGGCTGGAGCATCCCATGGGTTGGAGTGAGACGTGTCACCCGGCGGTGCCGGTGGCCTCTGGGTTTGTCCCCGTCCCCGGGGCGGCCGTGTCGCCCTCGGTGCGTCGCGGTATGACTGTGCCCCCCCCCTCCCGCCCCCGAAAGCTCCTCTGACTGGTTTGGGGACCAGTTATGACTGGACCCTTTTGACGCAGCGCCACAGAAAGTCCTTTCTGAAAACCTCAGCCCAATTTCGCTCTCAGCCACCAACCCCAGGCTTCGCCTCTCGGGCGGATGAGCTCGTGGGCGCTTTGCTGGGGCGGGGGGGGGAAGGATGGAGAAGGGAGGGGAAAGGATGGAGAGGGAGCAGAACCTCTGCCCCGCGTGGTTTTCCCGAGATGCTCGCGTGTCCTCGCATCTTTTTTTGTCCCGTCTGCCGTCGTGTTTTTGTTTCCCTTGCTGGGCCGGGCGGCCCGGGGCCGGCTCTGCTGACGGCGGTGGGATTTCGGATGGTCGCTCCGCCCCGGCCGGAATCCTGTTTGCCTTCCCGGAGAGCCAGGGCTGGAATATCGCGAGGGCCGCGTTTCATTCAGCAGCGAGGAGCGGCAGCGCTGCGGGGCCGTCCCCGGGCAGGCGGCGGGTGCGACTCCTGCGCTACTACAGCGTGAAAACAAAACACGTCCCCGAGCCAAGCGGCGCTGCCTTGGCTCCCAAAGACATTTTCCAGTCAGGTCGGAGCCAGGCTTTTATTTAATTTTTTTTTTTTTTTTTTTTTTACTAATCCTTTGAATATTCGGAGATTTGAAGCTGTTCCCGTTCCCTTGTGATTCCTGTGCCAAAACACTGTTTTGTTTTGTGCAGTGGTTTGGGTTTTTTTATTATTTTTTTATTTGGTTGTGTGGTGTGGGGTTGTTTTATTTTTATTTTTGTTATTTCCTTTTTTTTTGTTTTTATTTTTGGTTTTATTTACTTATTTATTTTCCTTAAGGCTGTGATTCCTACTGGGATCCTGCGCTTGGGTTTGCAGGAGGGGGGGATGAGGTGGAGCCAGTACCGTATGTGGTTGGTCCTGCCTCCTTTTTTTCCCTGGCTGTTTGAGGGATTTATCATGTGTTTAATAACTTCTTAAGATGGAGACTGAAATAATTATGTATCACACAGTATAGTTAATACATTAACTCTTTTTCCACTTACTTGGTTTTACTGGGAGTGTGGTTTCTCCGCACACCAATCCAGCTGTGCCTTTCTCCTCCTTGTGACAAGCCCTTTTCCTTTCCTCGTTGGACACTTTGGGATGACTGGGGCCAGAAATGTGATAATTGGGTGAAACTATCCAGACAGAGGGTTTTTAAGGTCAGGGAAGGAATTGCTGCTGTGCCTGCAAGGAAAAAGAACTGTTGAGAAGGGAGGGGGAAGAGGAGGTTTGGCGAGGGAAGGAAACTGGAGAGTGGCATCCTGGCTTTTCTCCCTGTTTGAAGAGGGGACCAAAGCTTGGAGATGCTCCTAGGGAAAACCTATAATAATGAATAAATAAATAAATAAATAAATGCATAATAATAATAGGAATAGTAAGGAATAAAATCCTGGCTTGTGACGACAAGCCCCCATTTGTGCAGCAGAACATCTGGCACCTGGGGGTAGAGTTAAGATGCGGTGATACTAAAAAGCAGCGATAAAATGGCAAGACTGGGTGGACTGCTGTGAAGTTCCACAGAGCATTTATCCCTGGCTTTTGTTCCTCCCTTCCTGACGCTTCTCCACGTTCTCCCCGTGCAGCTTCCCGGTGGCACTCGGTGGCGGAGGACGTGCAGCCCGAGGTGTGGATCGCGCAGGAGCTGCGGCGCATCGGGGACGAGTTCAATGCCTCCTATTGTCCACGAAGGGTAACTTTCCCCTCTCTACTTTCCATTTCTTCTCGCGCGTTTTCTCTGAAAGGGAAAAGCTTAATCATCTCTGGAAACTGCTGCGGTGAGCGCCGGGCGCGCTCAGATGGAGAGAGGGCTGCGCGGGTGGCGGTGTCGGCCCGCACGGGGCCACTCGTCGGCTCTGCGGCTGCAGTGGAGTTAAATCAATCAGAAATAACCCTCACATGGGGGCTGGGGGCCTTTTGTGGGGGAGAAGTTTGCAGGAGATTTTTGGGGCCGGTGTTGATGGTTTGGGCCTGGACCTGATGGTAACGGGGAACAGACTTCTAAGAGTTAGACAGGGAAAGTTTGGGGGTGTTGGGGCATTTTGGGAGTAGAGTTGGGCCTGGACCTGATGGTAACGAGGAAGAGACTTCTAAGAGTTAGACAGGGAAAGTATGGGGGTGTCAGTGTCTGGCACTGTTGCTTTCAGGGAAGCATTCAGGGCGTGAATGCAGTGGGATTCCAGTCCCAGCTCCCAGACCCCTGCAGCTGTGTGTGGAAGCTGCAAAGAGGAAACTCGGTCCGATTAACTTATTTTTCTTGCAAAGACTCTGTTTTGAAACACGGGTGTTTATAAGACCATAAACTGGCTCACCTTCGAGTGTTGCAACAAAAATCGATGCACTGATGCCAAAAAAAAAAGCAGGGACCCAGCCCCAAACCGGCCCAGCCCGGGGGGTGAAGCAACAGGAGTTTGCAGAGGAGCCTCACCGCCGGTGACTCCGAGCGTTCCCGACGGCTGCGTGCCCGTGCTTGTGGGTCCTGGTCCATGGATTCATGGGAAGAGGAGCCAGGAGCGCGTTTGGGAGCAGTGTTGGTGACGGAATGCCAGCTGCCTGGGTCCTTATCCGCCCTCCCCATCTCCTGAGTCACTCCCGCAGCGTTTCCTCACCGCTCCCAGGGTCTGGAGGGTTGGCTTTCCCCCAAAAGGGGGGTCCAGCTGCCAGGATCCAGCTTTCTGCATCGTCTCCATCTGCTCCATTCTCCTTCCAAACACTCTGGCTCTTCAGACCTGCAACAAACTGATGAGCTGTGCTTTATCCTGAATCCAGAGTGTCCATCTTCTGATCTCCCCACACTCCAGGCTGATCCCTGGAGAAGCCACTTTTTGGATTCAAAGGACATCTTTCCAAGCAAAAGGAGGTACCAGGCTGTTCAGAAAGCTGGAGGCACCTGGTAGCAGTCAGCTGATCCAGAAGAGCTGGTGGGAATGTGGACAGCCCTGCCATATCAAGGAATATCCTCAGTTGTAAGGGATCCACAAGGATCAATGAGTCCAACTCCTGGCCCTGCCCAGGACACCCCAGCAATCCCACCCTGTCCCTGAGACCATTGTCTGAACACTCCTTGAGCTCTGCTGGCCTCGGGGCTGTGACCACTGCCCTGGGGAGCCTGTGCCAGTGCCCGGCCACCCTCATCCCTTCTCCCATCTCCTCCCTGCCTCCCAGAGCAGTGCCTTAAATTTGGCAAACCCCGGAGCACCTTGTGTGAGCCGGTCTGTGAGGAACAGGAGCATCCTGCCTGTGTTATCCTGTGGGGACAAGCCCCCTCACCGCTGGAAATGCGCTCCAGGCACATCCCGAGATTCCAACCCCATGCCCTGGGGAGGCAGAGGTGGAACGCTGAGGACACGTCCTGCTTGCTCGATGGCATGAGCAGGGGATGACCCCACAAACGCTCCGGACCTGCCTTAACCAGCGTCTGCCCAGTTCTCCCTCGGTGCACCCAAAAATGGGAGGTTTCAGAAGCGTTTCAGCAGTGGCTGTGGAATTCCCATCCCCGAGGCGCGTGGCTGTTGCTCCGCGGGGAAGGTGTCTCTTCCTCCTGGAGGCATTCCAGCCGCTCCGGAGCCCTGGGGCGGGAGGGGAAGGAAGGTGGGAACGGCTCGTGCCCGCCGGCCCCGCCTGGCTGGGCTTTGCCCTTTAAGGCTGAGGTTAGCAATGGGGAACTGGGGGCTGTGCCAGAGCGGCGCCGGCCGGGCAGGTCGGAGCTGTCGGACGGGTCGGGGCTGCGCGTTCCCTGTCACGTTCCCCACCCGTGCGTCACCCCCGGGAGCATTTCAGGCCAGGCAGCGGGAAATCGGGCAGCTCCTCCCAAAGCTGGTGCTCCAGTGGCCACGGAGACCTGCCCCACAGCGGGGCTTCTGCCGGCAGGGGCTGGGAAGTTGAGGAATCACAGAATCACTGGGGTTGGAAAAGCCCTCCCAGCCCATGGATCCCCCCTGTGCCCGATGCCCACCTTGTCCCCCAGCCCAGAGCACTGAGTGCCACGGCCAGGCCTGCCTTGGACATCTCCAGGGCTGGGGACTCCAAACCTCCCTGGGCAGCCCCTTCCCATCTTTAACAATCCTTTCCATGAAGGAATTCTGGAGGATTCAGAAGGATGAAGGATTCATGAAGGATGTCCACTCTGAATGCACTGTTTCAACTTCCTAATTATTCCTCTACCTCTTTATTCAACAGAACCTAATTCTGGCATTTCTATTCTACTATTTAAGCCTGATGGGGTTTTTGTCTTTTTTTTTTTTTCCTCCTTGCTCTCCATCATATTGAGGGTTGGGTAGTGTGGTGGGCTTAGCCTTGGGCTGGTGGAGGAGGACCTGGACCTGCTTTTCTCCCTTTTGAGGGGGATTTTCATTTCATTTAGAATATTTTTTCCTCTACCCCGTTGTTTTAACCCTACCTGAATATCCTAACAGGGCTCCCTTGGGATGTTTCAAACCTGCCGGCAGTGTTGCATGACTCCTGGGCCCACAAGCATGTGACACCCCTCAAAATCCACCTTTATGGCCAACGTGGTTGGGAGAGGGCAGCTTTGACCCTTTGGTCAGAGGCAGAAGGGTTAAAACATGAAAGGTCACTGGGTTTATCCTGGTTCTTTGCTAAACACTTGAACGTTTGCCTCTGGAATATCATCCAGGTGTTTATAACACAGGGCCTTCGTGCTGGAACTCAGACTCATTGGTTTGTTTGTTTTTTCTTTCCTTTTTTTGTTCTTTTTTTTTTATCCCCCCTCTCCGTTTCAGGGTTTCTTGGATCACCAGCTGGGAAACCCCCAGGTCGTCATCCTGCGCCTGCTGCGTTACATCATCCGCCTCATCTGGAGGCTGCAGTGAGCGCCCGGCGCCCCCCGAGGCTCCAGGACCTGTTTCCTCGCTGGGAAAGGCTAGGAAGGCCAGACAGACGGACGGATGTGGGGCTCCCACCCTGCTTCTCCCCCAGGACACGTGGCAGGACGAGGCTGTTCATCCCACGCCGACCTGCCGGGCTCCGGTGCAGTGTTTTATCCCAGAGTGGTGTTTACTTAGTGTTTCAACTTTTATTCCTTTTTTTTTTTTTAAATCTTTTTTTTTTTTTTTTTTTTTTCAAAAAGAGTCTCAGTGAAAACGTGGAATAATTTGTTGTCATCCCTTCCTGGAATCCTCTGGGAAACCTGAGCCAGCTGATGGGCGAGAGACTCAGATTCCTCCCCTGTCCCTTTGCCTCCGGGGCATTTGCCCACCAAAAAGGCTGGGAGAAGGGCAGAGGGCTTTCAATCAGCACTTCTTTTACCTGTAAATACCTAATGCTACCCCAGGTCCACCTTCATTTGCATCATGCAAATCGCCTATTTCCTGCTGACTGATGATTTTTTAATGATTTTTTTTTTTTGGTCGTTTTTATATCTCTGATTTTTTTATACACTCTGAATTTCAAAGACTTCGCTGTCGAACTCCAGGGTCCAAACCATCACAACCAACCAAACACAAACCCCGATCCACCAGGTTGCCTTTTTTTTTTAGAGAAAGTCTTTCTATAAAACGTGTGAAAACGCTTCTGTAGTGTAAAATATAATATATAGAAGGGGGGGACACACATACTGAGGAATTCAGCAATAAAACATCCCGGAGGCAGGAGGAGCAGCTCCCAGGACACCACGGCGGCCGCTGGAGTGCGAGTTGCTCTCAGAGCAGGAGGGTTCCCAAGGCGCTGGACTGTGTTTTCCTGGGATCCTCTCTGCGTGTGGGGACAGAGGGATGAGCGGGCGCGCCGTGAAGCCCCCGGAGGCAGCTGGAAAGGAGCCAGCCTAGCACGGATCTGCTGCAGGACTTGTCTGTCCCCACGGCCTGCCCCGTGCCCGGCAGGGAACGTCCCATTCCGCCCGGACACTCCGAGGGCGCGGTGCAAGACACAGGTGTGTGTGTGTGTGTATGTTCTTTGTATCCCCTTCACCTCGGATGTTTTTGGGGGAGCTGCTGCTGCAGCCACCCCCTATCTATGCACAAGCACCCCCCTCGTGCCCCTTCCCTCTGGCGGGGGGTCCCAACCCATGTCCCGGCGCCGCGCAGTTGTTTCTGCTTTCACCGGTTCCACCAGCACCGTAGGAAAGGAAAAAAAAAAAAAAAAAAAGAAGGAAAACCCAATTCCCAAGTCCCCCGGAGTGGTTCTGACCACAGGGAGCAGCTGCTGAGTGCCATGGGTGAGGGTTGGTGTCAGGGATGGATGGGCTGCAGCGGGGCCTCCCTGCCCTGGCTGTGCTGTGGTGTCGCAGCAGGGCCTCCCCCTGTGCTCCTGGAGGGGCACGGGGTGAGTTTTAACCTTCATTGCCAAGTTTATTCCCTTTTTTTTTTTTTTCTTTAAGGTGGGCATCGGTTGCAGGAGCAGGGAATGTTTTAGGAAGGGTTTTTTTGGAGAGAGTGTGGGGGGGAACCTTTGCACTGGTGGGGGGCGAGAGGTTCAATAACTGGTGAGCTGGGCTGGGGCAGATCCTGCTCCTCATCCCATGGGATTTGGCTCTGGCTTAGGCTCATGATTTCCCACGGGAACCTACGTGGAATTCCATGGCTGTTGATAAAATTAAATAAGTAAAATTCAGCAGCAGAGAAGGGGGGTGAGACTTTTCTCCCAGTTGAGTTTCATCGTTGCTGGTGGATGAAATGGTGCTTTGGGGTCTCCCAGCCTTATGGAATCCTGGAATGTGTCCCTTGGAATACACCAAAGAATCACCGAGCACTTTACCCCCTCCTCCCATGGAGACAGAAGACAGGTTCGTTTTAAGGGGGAAAAAAAATTCCAAGGATTGGCAAAGTCTCCCAGGGGCTTCTCCACAGGAGGAATTCCCAACCAAAAGGCATAGGAAAATTAACCCCCAAAAAGCAGTTTTAGGGGACCCCCCCCCCCAAAAAAAAAAGCCTCAAACCAGAAGAATGATGTTATAAAATAGGGATTATGCCCATTTAGTCATGGGCTGTTTTAAGCATAACCTGTGCTCTGTGTTGCACCAGAAGGACGTGATGAAGAGTTTTCCTTGGATGTGGGGAAACCAGATTTATTCCCGGTCCTGCTTCTCCTCTTTTTCCCCAACTGTAAATACCCAAATATTTATTAGAGTAGGGCACCGTATCTTCATCATCTGAGCCAAATATCTGTGTGCAATGTACTCCTTCTCCTTTCTCTCCTGTAAGTTTTGTACAGCTTATGAATACATTAAAAAAAAAAATTATTAAAAAACCCCTGTTTTTTTTCCTAAACTTTTTTTAGAGTTGAACTTGGTATAAATACTGTAGGGCCTTTTTTTTTTTTTTTTTTTTTTTTAATTTTCTGTGTAATTAATGCACTCTACTGTTTAATGCTGTAACTTGTAGAAACGTTGTATATTTATTTTCTGCTTATTTAAGTTCCTGTGAAGATTTGGTTTCCCCCTTTCCTCTCTCCTCCCTGCCGTAAGTGTTGGATCACCTTTCCAAAGCCATCGTGGGGTGGATGAACGATTGAATCCTTTCTCGCTCCAAGTGCCTGAGCCCCCACTTCCCAGGAGTGATTTAGGCACCTCAAAGACTTCAGCATTACTGAAAGCCGGTGGGAACTCGGCTTCTCCACGCCCTGGGACTGTTCAATCCAGGTTTTTGACTCCTCCTGGGAGCAGCCATCCCCGTGAGGTCACCGAGTCGTGGCGCAGGACCCAGCGGATGTAGCATTTCTGACTGCAATTTCCCTGCCTTCCTTGTGTTTTGCACTGATGAATTTTGGACAGGGTAATTGCCACTTTACTTGTGCAATACTGCTGTAAATAATCGCAGATCCTTTTGGTTTTGGGTTTTTTTTTTTGGGGGGGTGTCGTTTTTGTTGGTTTTCAGATGCAATCTTTTATGTTCTTAATATGAGTTTTATATGAATAAAAACTTTCAACTATTTGTTGCGAGTGCTGGGGTTTTTTTGGGGGGTTGAGGAGCACCTGGGAAGGGTTGGGAAGGGGATATTTGTTCTTTATCTCCCTGTTTATCACCAACTCTCCCAATTTTTCACCCATTTCTCCCCAGGATGTCCCCCAGACCCGATGTTTCCCCTGCCAGGACCCCAAAATGCAGCCGTTGAACAAAGCAACTCTGTAAAGTTGTTGCCTTGAGTGTTCCCAAGCCCAAAAGCTGCCCCTTCTGGGAATGCTTTGGAGTTTTTTTTTGCTTTTCCCCACATTTATGGGGCTCTGCAGTCATGGGCTCAAAGCCAGCTGCTGGGACATCTCCCATGCACTCCTTGTCCCCAGTTGATTCTCATGGGTATTTACAGAGTTTGGGGGTTTATTTTATTATTTTGACTTTGCTTTGTTACTACTTTTATTGTTTAATGGTTTCATTTTAATATTTGTGTTTTTGTTTGTTACTATTTTTGTTATTTAATGCTTTTATTATTTAATGCTTTTATTGCCAGGATTTTGATTTTACTAGAGAACATTACCATGTCAGCTTTCCCTTTATTATTTCACATGGTTATTTTTTTTATTTTATCTTTATAATTATTTTATTTTATTTTAGAGCTGAGGCAAAATCCTCCTAAAAATTCCCATCCCACTCTCCTGCTGCCTTGACCTTCCATCCTATTTTGTTTCACCTCCAGCTCTTCTTACTGCTCCATGCCCTGGCACCCACCACCTGGAAGGAGTTTAAAAACAATCTCCCCCACCAAAGTCCTACTTGATAAACAACCTAAAAAAACTCTGGATTTTTTTTTTTTTTGTTCTTGAGTGTGTTTCAAATTACAGAAGTTCCTGAAAGGGAAGTTTATTGGTTTCAGGTGCTATTTCGGGGGCTTCTTTAACTCAAAAAAAAAAAAAAAGAAAAAAAAAGAAAAGAAAAGAAAAGGGGCTTGTGTTGCCCAGCCGAGGCTGTGGCAGCTGCTGGTCCCGTGGCTCTCTGGTCCCGGTGGAATTTGGGAGCCTGTGGGTTGTCACACCTGGGACACGACCCTGCTTGGCTTTCCTTGGAAGGAGCTCGGGAATGCTGGAGGGAGCTCATGGCCTGCCCCAACCTGGTGACCTTGGGAAGAGGAAGCGAGGGCAGATCCCCCCCAGAGGAAGCGAGGAGAGATCCCCACCAGTGGGATCTCCCTCTGGGCACGTGCTTGGCCACATTCAGGGCTGGGTTGGCTGTGGCCATGGCCCAGGGTGGTCAGGGACAGGTGGAAGGTGGCCACAGCCCAGGCTGTCACAGTCTCCCTTGGCCATGGCCAAGTCCAAGGTGGTGCCACCAGGCACACACCGCCTGGCTGCTCCCCAAGGGCCCTTCCTGTGCCCTCCGTTTTCCTTCAGGAACTACCAAAACCCACGTGCGACTTCGCCTTAAGGATGCCAAACTGCCTTTATCCCACAGAAAGGAATAGAAGTTAGGAACCCCGACCCCACCCGGATTTTATTCGTGGGAAAAACCGCAGCACCCCGTTGGCAGATGGATGCTCTCGTGGCTGCTTTGAGGACACACAAGGTGCCAGGCAGGGATGTTCCCACATCCCTCAGCCCCTGCCGGCCTCGGGAATGCCGAGCAGCCAAAGCCTGGCATGAGATGGCGGCCAACCAGTGCCACGGGAGCGGCCCCTGGGCACTGCCAGGCCCTCAACATCCACATGTATAGGTGTATGTTTATTTTTTTTCCAATGACTCGCCGCTGACCTTTCAAACACCTGTTCGGCCTTAAACAGCTAAAAATACCCCCCGAGCTTTGCATCTGATTTTCATATCGCAACAAAGCTCACTGTTTCCAGCGGGTTCGCTCGTGTTTCTGGCGGGGTCTTGGATGGGCCACCTCTCCTGGGGCCAAACCCACGTGGGGACAGGGATGGGAAGCAGCTGGATACCGGGAGGCCCCTGGAAGCAGTAAAGGATGCTCATTACAGATGCTCTAACAGGGCTTTTATAAGGTGTAAGACAAGCCTGAGGATGGTTGGAACATGAGGACTTTCCTACTGCCCTTGCTGAGCATCCCAAACCTATTCTGGCTCTTTCCTGTGGAGTTTTGAAAAAATGAAGAGCTGCATCCCCAGGAAAGGAAGACAGCGGGTTATCCCTGGCGGTGACACCGCCGTGCCGGCACAGGCCGGTCCTGGGCAGCCTTGGGAACCTCCCACAGCCCTCGTGGGGATACGGGGCCTTTTCTTGCCTGGTTTGATGGATTTCTCCTCGCTGGGTTTTTGACAGGCTCGTCCGTCCCTTTTCCCGGGGGGACACCCCGGGAGCCGGCGCTTCCCGGCCGCGTTGGCCGGTAATTGAACCGCCCCGGTGCAATTCTGGACACCGTGGGCCAAGCAAACAATCGTCTGACAATCCCACAGTTGTCTTGGTTATTAATTAGGGGAAATAAAGCTGGAAGGTGGCAGGCTGGCCCTTCCCGAGGGAGGGAAAGGGCGCTGAGCGTCGCCTCTCCGCCTCACCGCAGCCCCGGCCACGGCGCGGCATCCCAGGCTGAAAATGCCAGGATTTCCATGAATCCCATTGATTTTGGGGTCTGAACCTCACAAATAAACCTCCTGAGGATCAAGAGAGGAGCTGTGGGGGTGCTGAGACCCTCAGGCCTCACCACGAGTGGGATTCCAGCATCCAACCCTCCCAGAGCCGGGAGCAGCAGCGGAGTCCCCTCACGAGCCCGGGGACAGCCACGAGCGCCTGCCACTACCATTCAAATGACTTATTGGCAGAAATGGGTTTAAAAATAGGGGTTTTGTGATAAACAAACTAACCTCATACAGGAAGTGAGCTGCAAATACTAAAACACGTTGTACAAAGCTGGTAGAGAACAGAGCTGCCCCACAGAACCGAAAAAACAACAACAAAAACGAAGCAGTGGTGGTGGGGGGGTGGGTTTGAACATTTCCTCGGGGGGGGTTATGTTATTTCAAAGGGGTGAATTGAGGGGAGAAAGGGCTGGGGGATGAGAGGGTTCCTTCTGTAGTTATGGCCCCTAAAATGCAGGTGATGCCAAGCAGCTCCTCGACGTGAACCCCGAGTTTGAGCGTGACGGGACTTCAAAAAGCGTCGGGCTCTGCTGCTGCAAAGGTTAAACAGTTTTCCTCCCGAAACCCCGAGTGTGGGCTGTGAAAGAACATGGTAATGAAGAAAAATTTCCCCAGGGCTGCTCTTTGATTATCACCAAAGCCATCGAGTTTCAGTTTGAGTGATTTGTATTTATTTATAAAAACAAAGATGAAATAAGTAGAACGAAAACAAAAGCCTCATCCTAATTTCTGAGCTCAAGCCTGATTTATTCAAGCAGAGACGTTCAGGTACAACAGGCTGGCTTGAGAAAATGAACTGAGTCGCTGGTGTGCTGCGTGGGGAAGAAATTTAGGGTTCAAAAGATATAATAACCTCCCCAAAAAACACAACTAACCACCTTTGCTGGCTGCAAAAATGCTGATTTAAGAGTGATCGGGCTGGGCAGCAGCTCCAGCCACTGAGTTCAAGCCTGGTTTGGTGCTGGGGCATCTTAATTTGAGTGGGAGAACAAAAGACATTTCTCTTTTCATGTGTTTTCACTTCCATCGTGAGAGAACTGGTTAAAAAAAACACACAAAAAAGCCCTTCAGTGGTCTCGCAGCCTTTACCGTGTTGTTTTTCTACCTATTTTCTGTTGTTGGCTTTTGTTATCAGTCTCATCTGCAATTTGTGGCCGATTCTGTCATGTTTCAGGCAGACAGCGTGTTCCCAAAACTGTTTGCAACCTTTCAGTGAGGGTACAGCCTCGAGGACAGGCAGAGCAGAGCCGCAGCACAACGAGAAAAAGGGCACATTTAACCCCCAAATCCCTCTTTGGCCACATTTGGATGCCCGAGGCGGGGACGAATCCCAGGGCAGTGATGGACAAACCCCAAGCCAGCCCAGCCCACCCCCCTGGGCATCCTCACTTTAGCTGGAATTATTTCCAGTTCCCCAGCGCAGGAGAAGCCAAACCCCCGCCTGTGTGACCCGGTGGATTTTTCCCGATCCCAAATAATTTCCCAAACAGTTTCCCACTGTGTTTCCCCATCCAGCAGCGTGGATCCGTCCCAGCCACGCCGGCTGAGCCCTCCTTCTGGGAGCGTAACGTGGATTAAATCACTCGAGCTGTGAATTACCACCGAAAGCCAACGCCGCCGACCTCTTACAGATTCGATATTAATAACGAAACCAAAAAGCAAATTAATACCGCAGGACGAGGAGGAATTCTGCAATTTGGTTGTAAAAGCTCAGTGAAGGTCATCGAGTGCACGACGGGCTCAGCGTGGAGGCGATTTCGGCCCCCACCGGCCCTGGGGGAGCAGGGGGGTGACACGGGGGTGATTTTTGGGGCTGGCCGGGCTGCTGGGAAAGGTTGGGAGCCGCGGCCCCGCCGGGCTGGGCTCGGTGCCGCCGCAGCCCCGCGATGCTCTCCGGGCTGGCCGGAGAGGGAAGCGCCGGCGCCGCGTCCCCGCCGAACACCCGGCTCCGAAATAACCAATTCGGGGTTTTTCCGAGGATGAGGCGGCTCGGCGGGGGCAGCCCGGCTGGGGGAGGACTGAGCCATTGTGAAACCCAGCTCCTTTTCCTGAGGCTGCCGCTGCCGGAGGCGCCGGAGCCCAAAGCCTGCCCGAAAAACAGCTCAAACGGTTTCCCAAAGCCGAGGTTCCCCAGGGCCACTCGGCCCTCGCCCCTCGTCCCCCACAATTTCGGGCTCCCTGGCACAGGGAATGACGGCTGGCTGCTCCCCTGGGAAGGGCTACCTTCCTCCCCCGGACCCCCGCAGCCCCAAACCTCTTCCCCTTAGGATCGCTGAGCACGGGGGTCCCACCACCCTGCTCCCCGCCTCCAAATCATCCCCCTGTTTACACCTATTTACAATCCATCCTATTGTTTTGGCCAGGAAAACGCTCAAATCTATACTTTAAAGGCAATGTCTCAGGGCTCTCCCAA